TGCTGCCTTCATTTTGATCTGGCTACCCGAGCGGCGGGAACTTGCCGCCTCATATCAATGACAGCGAGCGACTCGACTTTGCATTTAAAAGTAAATTATGCCACACATTCGGATTCGCATTCGCATTCACAATTCTTCATCACTTTGCGAGTCCCCTTTGTTTATTTTCGGCTGAAGGTTATTTGATTTTTTATTTGTGCAGGGAGCACCCTGTCAGAAGCACACACACACACACACACACACACACACACAGAGCGGCAGCACAAACACGGAATCTATTTGCATAATTTTAGGGGCAACTGTTTGGATTTGGGATAACAAAACTAAACCAACAACAAACTCGGATAATCAGCCATAAAGCTGCTACAAATTTAAATACACATATATAAGTAATTTGATGTTTGCACGTGCACTGCGCAAAAGTCAATAGCTTCTTTATTTTTATGCCAAAGCAAACAATATTCATAGAACTACAAAAAAAAGCAGGAAAGTAGGCCAGTAGTTGGAAATGATTGTGCATATTTCATGGCGCCCGAGCAGGGCTATGCACGTGTCTCACTTGAATAACGTTCGCTAACAGCAAAAGTGGGTGGATTTAATTTTTGTTTTTAATGAATTGCGGGCTGTGCGTTGAGTAAACATGTCTATATACACCCAAAAATTAATTATGCCAACGGTTATGAAACAAACAGCTCAAAGAGACAGAGATTAGTTGAAATTAGTTGAATGCTGTAACTAATGCCTAAATATACGCATGTGCGCGGATATGGAATTCAATTCAATGTAAGCGAGTGGCGCCCGAGCAGGGACTTTAACTATTTTATCATAGATTTTGAAACAAATATTTAATAGAAAAAGATTTCTTTAATATTTATGTTACTAATGTCTAAATGTGCACAAGATTTCAATCATTCAATATTAGAGAGCAGGCACATTCAAAGATGTTCAGTGGCGCCCGAGCAGGGACTCTGACTATTTCATCTTAGATTTTGAAAGAAAGAGCTTGAATAGAAAACGATTTCTAAAAAGCTGTAACTTCTGTCTAAATATACACAATAATTCACTCATTCAATATTTGCGAGCGGCGCCCGAGCAGGGACATTGGAAAGTCTTCGCTGGCGCCCGAGCAGGGACATTTGCTCAAATCAAATGAAACTCGGCTGAAAAATAAGGTTAAGTAGAAATGGATTAAGCCCAAATGAATTGAGAGCTGTACTCTACTGCTGCAATGTATATGTGCGTATATTATGCACAGCTTAAGTATGCGATTGGCGCCCGAGCAGGGACTTTAATGACGTCAGCTCGAAATCGGCGGCTGCCATTAACCGTGGTTGAGTCTTTACGCAATCAATAAAGTAAAATTTAATTGAATGTGCTAGAAATGTTAGCAATAACTGTAAAAGTGGAAAAGTGAACAACTACAAAATGGCGCAATTTGATGCGAATTCCGAGCAACCATTTACATTTGCCAGTTACAGCCAAGGAAAAGTGGGAAAGTGGAAAAGTTGACGCGTGACTATCTAGTCGGCGGCATCTGCCAAGCTTAAATAACCCGCTTCAAAATTGTTGTTGGCACTTTAAAGATCTAGACATTGAAATCTGACATTTTGATTTGCGGCACTAATCGCATTATTTCACACCACTGTGCGCGTGTGTGTGTGTGTGTGTGTGTGTGTGTTAGCCACGTTGTGTGTATTTTGGCCGCTGCCCTGTCTGCCGCTTCTTCTGCTTAGCCTCACACTTGCTCCTTAAGCACTCTACGCCACGCACTTTCCCTTTCACAAGTTGCTTTTGTGCGCTGTTTGTGTTTAATTATGGATGTCTGCGTGCGCGCGTGTGTCTGTGCGTGTGCGTGTGTGTGTGTGTGTGTTTACATATGTGCGTGGTGTTATTATACAAGGCGCTTACATTGCCATTCTCGTTATTGTTGCTCTGCTCGTTGTTATTGTTGCTCTCCCTCACATTCTTTCTTCTCCTTCTGCTTCTGGTTCTTCCTCTCGCTCTTGTTTATTCGATTGGTCGTTTGCTTTTGGCCAAAATACTTGAGTTCGTCTGGCCTTCTGGCTTGCTTAACATTTAAAATTCATATTAAAACTCACGCACACACACGCACACACACACACACGTATGGCTTGCCGGAATTATGTACATATAGAAAATTTAGGCAACGCTTCGTTTGTCTTGGTGCTGACTTCCGTTTCCGGTTTGTAAACAAATGGCGCCAGCAGACGATTAATTATTGTTGATTTCTGTGCCAGTGTCTATGTTTGTGGCAGGACACGTGCCACAGTCCACGTCAAATGCCTAACACGTATGGCCACACCACGCTACGCTCTGCACTTCCCTACCTCCCTGCCCCCCCCGCCCCATGTATCCACTCTCCGGACAACGAGCCTTGTTTGCAGAACAAACAAACATTAGAACTGATAAATCGTTTGTTAAATATTTGAACTATTTTGGGTGTGCTTTAATGAGTTGCTTAATAATGTCACATTTTAAGCGGATTTTACGTGCTTATCGATTTATCGATTTATCGATAGCACCACAATGGCTTGCGAATTGGCCGACTTGACTTGTGCGCAATTGAACTGTCAAAAATTGTGACGAAATTGTTGTTTGTTCACTTGTCGTTAGTTATTTTCAGTGGGAATATAATAATTATTATTGATATGTTGGATATCTTCAATAAAATCCAACTTATTTATCTATACTTCATTAACTGAATCTATAAGTTTTTGATATATATGTGTGTAACTAAGTTGTTCCCATTTGTTTGCTTCTCTGAATAATCTTCTTAACAAATCGATAAGACGATACAGACGATGTGAAGTAATTTTCTAGCCTGTAAAAGCAAAATATATTTGCTAAATACTAGAGTTTTCTAGAAATTTTTGTATACATATCGATTTTATCCATATATCGATACACTCCCATAAATATGTTGACGATAATAAAATAAGCAAAAGACAAACGTTAATTTAAGTATTGATTGAAATGAAAATCGTTTTCGACTGCCCATTTGATGGCTGTCGAACCGAGAGATCAACAAGAGACAACATTATTTACTCCGTATACTTATCGATAACACCGATCGAAACAAACGATGTATTTGAGATCGATATACTATTTGGTATTTTTGAACAGCACATATCCTCTTAATTCATGTATCCAATATATCTTTTAAACGAAGAGCGATAGTTGTTTGTACAATGATCGATTTGTAAATTCGATTAATTTAGCAATCGATTAGCTCTGAAAAGTAATACAAATTATTCAAATTTTTTTCATCGAAATTTAATTCAATCTAAGCAATACATTTTCTCTTATCGAAATTCGATTAATTTATCTAGCGAAGGTATCTTATTATTTTATTTATTCACATTAACTAACTATCGAACTGGCACATTTGTTCTTGGTGTAACTAATATTTGTGCCTTCATAATGATACAAATATCTTTCTCTTGGCCAAATTCGATTAATTAATCTGTCGACTGTATCTTATTATCTGAACTATTCAATAAATTCATCTATTGAATGGGCATATTTATTCTTGCCGTAATTAATATTTGTGCCCTCGCATTGATATTAGCCGTTTGCATTCATCAAATGCCTTATAGTTCTAATCGATAACATTTAATTATCGTTATCGTTTGGTAATTAACTTGCTGGCAATGCATACAAATTACTTAATTTCCATTCATATTTGTGTTCCAGTTACGCAATTGTGATTATTTCTGCAACAATTACATTTCCATTCACATAAATCCTCATTTTAATTGTATATCGATAAATTTTTAATCACAATTGCGGACAAGCGTATTAGTAACATGATTGCTATTGTGAGCTGCCTAATTCGATGGGCACACGTTGTTGTTGCCTTTGTAATTTGTTTGGCTTTGTTGTTGTTTTTGTGTGAACTATGCAAAAGCTGCCCTATTTTGTTGGCCCATCAATAAACCAATTTTCGCACAATTGCAGTTCACAGGCATGTGTGTGCGCGTCTGTGTGTATCAAAAACCACAACGTGGCACTTTTTGGCAAGTAAATGTGTTATACTTAGGTGGGTCACACACACACACACACACACACACACACACAAGCAAGCACACACATATACGCGCACACGTGAGGACCGTAATTAATGATTGAACACACACACGCACTCGTTCACACACAAACACACACACAAATAAGCGTAACGAGCTCTCGCCCTGCAAAGTATGCTACAATTTTCGTTGTGGGCAACAAATATGCTGCTCATTATTTTTAGAGCCTTACACCAACACACACACGCACACACACACGCACACCACACGCATATAAATTATGTTTGGGCTTCATTATGCGGGCTGCTTTTATGGCGGCGGCCAAGAGTGTGAGGGCATGCCCGCTGCTGGGCGGGGGGCTGAGGCATTTTGGGTCGCGCTTCAAGGCGCCGCATTAAAAATCAATTCACAAACTTTGCACGTAGCTTTAAGTGAAGTATGTGTGTGTGCGTGCGTGTGTGTATTAAGTGTGCTGTGTATTGTGAGGGCAGCAGCAACAGCTTTCTAAGCGGCTTTGATGAAGCTGCTGCTGTTGCTGCTGCTTGTTGCTTACTTTTTCGCTTGTGCAGCTGCCAATTGGTAATGTCTTCTAATCTCACGGTCTCCCTTTCTCTTTGCAGACAGCAGCTGGTCAAAATGGAATGACCTGAGCTGCTTTTGGTGGCCCACACACGTCGTCATCGTAGCCAACGGAAGATGCTGCAGCAGGCAGCAGCAACACCAACAGCAGCAACAGCAGCAGCAGCAACAGCAGCAACAGCAGCAAGCAGCGCCAGCAATGGCCAGCGACGTCGCGTGGCAGCTAGCGACAGCTGCAGCAATTACAACAATAAAATCAACAATACCGCCAGCAACAAATTGAAGGCACAGCAAATGCATTCCAACGAGGAGCCGCCCATGTCGGTGATCGTGGACAGCGGCAACCAGCAGCAACAGCACCAGCAACAGCAGCAACAGCAGCAACAGCAGCAGAAGCTGCGTCGCAGCGCCAGCGCCAGCGGCAGCAGCGGCCAGCAGAGGCTGCGCAAGACTAGCTCGTGCAGTGCCAGCGGCAAGACGACGCCCACTCCGCACTCGCGACGCCCACATCGACAGCACTCGAATGCCTCCGATTCAATGCACAAACAGCAACAACAATCACAGCAGCAACAATCACAGCAACAGCAACAGCAGCAGCAGCAGCCGCGTCGTTACCAGCAATCAAGTCGCGGTGGCAGCAAGGAGCGCGGCTCGGAGACGGCGCGACGGCGTGGCACGTCACGTCGTCACAGTGGCGCCTCCATGCAGAGCGAGGCGGCGACAGCGACGGCGATGGGAACGGAAAGGGGACAGCGCAGCGGGCAGCGAGCGCGTGGCACCAGCTCGGCGGCCAGCTCCTCGACCGCATCCAGTTGCAATGGCAGCTGCAGCTCCGACGATGGCGACTCGACGCATTCATCCTCCTCGTCGTCCAGCTCGTCGGGCGAGCCGAATCTGCCCTATCCGGGCTTCCCGGAGATTGCCATGAAGGCCCTGACGCAGTACACGCGGCCGCGCAACTGGTGCCTGATGCTCATAACCAATCCATATCCTTTTTTATTGCAAGCAAAACAAAACCCATAACCCACACATTGTTCGGTTTCGCTGAGGCTGCGGCTGAGGGCGTCGGCTACGCCAGCGGGTGGTCTGTCCTTCGGCAATTCCAATCCTTGTGGTGGGGGAGGGCGCGGTACTTGGTGCGGCGCGTCCTTGTCATATATTCGCGCTGCATTTCGCTGTTGCTGCCTTTTGATTTTTACCGTCTGCTCGTGTCCTTCCGGGCACATCCTGTCGCGCCTAAATGTTAACAGAGAGTTGACTTTGCGGGTCCAGCAAGATAAAGGACAGCTCTTAGGTACTTGAGAGAGCTACCCAACTCCAAAGAAGTTATGAATATTTGAGTCTCAGACCAAGAATAATCATTATTAATGAGTATATTATACATATATGGAAATTACATGATTAGATTCATATTTATATTACCCGCTGTCGAGTATTTGCTGGCTTTGTCCGATTTGCTCGCTTTACACTTTTGACATCACTTTTCCATTCATTGCCCAAAAATTAATTCCAGTTTATTACAGGTCAATTTCCTAAAGACAACTGCATATAAACACATAAAATACTTTTAAAGTGCCAAAACCTTTATGATAGCTTAAATGCCCCCACTCGCTTACAGCAAGCGTAGGGTATACGCAGGCTTTGAGCCTTGAAAAATTTGCTGCTGTTTTACGTTTTATTTATTTATTTTTCTTTGCCTGCCTGTTGCAAAATTTATGCTGATGTGAGTGTGTGAGTATGTGTGTGTGTGTGTGTTCGCTGTGTGTGTCGCATAAATAACAAGTATCGGCGTGCGGCGGCTCATCAGCGGAAGACGCTGCCAGGGTTGCCAGAGCTGGCAGAGTTGCCAATCGACATTTGCAGTTGCCGCTTCCGACGGCGCGTCGTGTACTTTTTGCGCCTCCTCATTTGCAGCTGCTTCGCATGTTGTTGCTGTCGCCTGGGGAGATAATGTGCGCCAATCAGCGAGGCAACGCCCCGCCCCAGTGCCCGCCCCTGCGCCCGGGCCGGAGGCGGCCGCAGTGCCTTGCACGCCTCCTCTGGCATGTGCATGAAAAATCGCTTTGCATACTTTCGGGCGCACTTCACATTTAATTTAACCTGAAATTAAAATTGACTGACGTTGATATTTAAGACAGAACATATTTCATACATTAAAAGCGTCTCGCAGCCAGTCAGAGCCGCGCTCTTATTGAGTGGTTAGTTATGCAGCCATCTGTCCCCGAGGAGCACAGAAACAGAGACAGAAACAGAAACAGAGACAGAGACAGAAACAGACGAGCAGCCGGCGCTGAGTTGATTGTAAATTAAGAGAGAATAAATTACTTTTGGGTTACCCAAGGTTAAATATATTCCAGCAGCCATTTGATAGAAGTGCGTTCATTCTCTAGAGTTAAGCAGAATAAGGTTTTTTTTTCATACGAAAACTTAATCTACAGGTGGATCTATAAGATACGATACTTAGAAGTTTTTCAGAGGATGTTTTGTATGCCAGGAGATGAGGGGATATACAGTTGCTTTTAAGGGACAGCACAAGTCGCAGGAGACATACGAAGGGTAGGTCTTGGTTTAGCTGGCTTTGTCCTCTTCCCGTTGCTTATAATTCTCAATGGGTTATAGCTTCGAACTGTAGACAAGAGCTTGCTGATAGAAACGAGCGGTGCGTGAAATAAAATATTTATATCCCAATTTGTTAATCTACTAAGAAACATACTACTTTGGGCTACTTGGCTGCTGACTTAGGTCTCGTTGAATAATATGCAAAGAGCTGCAAATTTATTCAGCTCAAATTCGGCAACTCCTTTTCCAACTATTAAAGTGGCATTAAGAAGAAGCAGCAGTCAAACTTATTGGCCTTGGGCAAATGTATGTAACTGGCAGAAGGAAGCACCTCCTATCCAGTAAAGTATATAATTTCTTGATAAGCATCAATAGTCGAGTCGTTCTAGCCATGTCCGTCTGCTTGCCTGTCTATCTGCCCGTCTGTATGTTCGTCTGTCCATCTGTCTATCTGTTCTATACGAGTTAAACCTGCAAGAGTTAAAGACTTGAAATTGTTTGAACGTAACTCCTCCCAGTGCCCGTGAAGTTTGTTTTCGGTAATCTAGCGATAATTCCGTTTTCAAGCAAACGATATGAATCCCTATTGAAATACTCTTTGTCGAGCATATCCCCTATGTTTCCAGAGCTAGCCATATATATAATACAAGTATTTTGTACGAAGGCATATAAGTATTAAATATGCTTGTGTGTGTATTTGTGTGTGTGTATGTATGTGTTTGTTAGTGTATGCATGCATGTATTTATGAATATATGTATGCATGCATGTTTTTTTTTACTACCAAACGCAGACCAAGCTTACTTTTCGCTGTGCTGCAAATTTAAATAAAACGAATTTTTACCAAGTGCTCTACTCCTCGATTCTCAAGAATTCAAGTAGGCTCTGCCGTTTTTCATGCTTAGCTAGTAGTGTGGTGCTTATTTTTGTTAATTTTTCTGTTTTTTTGTATATTATTACATATATGTGTGTGTACGTGTGTATGTACGTGTGTATTTATGTATGTATGTATGTATGTATGTATGTATGTATTTAGTATCTATGAATGTATGTGTGTATGTATGTATGTATGTATGTGAGTGTGTGTGTGTATGTATGTATATATGTATGTACGTATGTATTTATGTATGTATGTATGTATGTATGTATGTATGTACGTATGTATTTATGTATGTATGTATGTATGCATGTATGTATGTATGTATTTAGTATCTATGTATGTATGTGTGTATGTATGTATGTGAGTGTGTGTGTATCTATGTATGTATGTATGTATGTATTTATGTATGTATGTATGTATGTATGTATGTATGTATGTATGTATGTATGTATGTACGTATGTATTTATGTATGTATGTATGCATGCATGAAGACAGATCGGATGATAAACAAAAAAGTTTCATACAAACGTTTTTCGCGATTTTTTCACACATGCGGTTGAATTTCCCGAAACCCCGTCTTAACGTGCACCTTCATCACATAAGGTAACTCCAGTGAAAATTTCAGCTTCCTAGCTCTTACGGTATGGGCTGTGCGTTAATCACCAATCAATCAGTCAGTCAGTCAGGACAAACAGCTTTATATATAGAGATATATTACCCATCAGGTGTTGGTAGAAGAAGACGGTCAGGGCATCCCATAGTCGGGCACTCCTAGCTAAAGCATTTTTCCTGGTTTATTTCATAGCGTCGCATTTAAGCTTTACCGCGCTTAAACCATTTGGGAATTCTAAATGAAAATTGCTTTTATTTCGTTGTTGCCTCACAATCAAAATCTGCGACTTGCCACCGATAAATACACTTTGCTTGCAACTATTTATTGCATTCGCCCATTTCCCCATTTGCCATGTTGTCCATTTGTCCAAGTTTATTTCCGCCGCATCTTTGTGGCGTCTCTATTGCCATTTCCTGTCCATGTTCCGTTTCTGATTCCGAATACAAGCGAGTCGCCCAGTGCCAATTACCAGCTGCCAGCTGCCGGCTGCCAGCTGCATTGCTCAGTCAGCTACAATAACACGATAATCGCACCCTTGGCTGCCCCTCGGCTAGCTCCTGGCGCCCGGCTCCGCCCGTCCCTCTGCCACTTAATTGTTGGCTATAAATTTTGATTTTGTCATTGTTCAGCTGCCGCTTTCCCACTGAGTCCAGTCAACCCCATCTCTACTCTTCCCGCAGTATTGGCCATGTCTTGAGTATTTCATGAGTTTTTGCTACTGTTCTGCTCGCTCGCCTCAATAAAGTTTACAATGCCACTTTCTCTCTCTCCCTCTCTCTCTCTCTCCCTCTCTCTCTCTCCCTTATCAAGCAATTATTGTTTATCGTGTGCAACGATTTGTTGCAATTGCGTCCATTTCAGGCAACGTGGCAGCTTGGCGTCTCGACGCAATTCAATTGGCATTGGCTATAATCAATTTCATGGCAATAACCAAACCTGCCCCTTTCCCTTTCTAGATCACCCCCCTGCCATTTGCTATCCCCTTTGAAAATTGCTTTTGCTAAACTAATTTCAGTTAAAAAGTTTGCTGCTTCTCTCGTCTACGTGGCGCTAGTCAATGCCACATTTTGTGGCACTTGCAACTTGCAACTTGAGAGGTCAACTGAGCTATTTGCCAAAAAAAAAATAAAAGATGTGGCAATGCCGCGATGTCGCCGCCTTGACTGCGGTGTCTCATGTGCCCCCTCCTCTCTCTCTCTCTCCCTTTCCTCTCTTTCTCTCTCTCTCTTCATGAAAGTGCATGCAACATGCTGCATCGAGGCAGCCGCTGCTGTGGCTGCAACGTGCCACACAAGACTTTAGAATGTTGTCATCTATTTTACGGCGCTTTTAGCGTGCCGAATGCCACCTTGCAAGCACAACTGATGCACGGCCACGCCTCCTTCATGCATCCCTACCCATTAAAGAGCCCAGGTGGTAGGATGGAGAGGGGGGAGGGGGTGTTTGGGTTGGCTTCAAGGCGTGGTACACATCATTAGCATGCGGGAAAGTAATGCGATATACACGCCCACAACTAATTACGGCCTCCGCTCTGCACACTTAACAGCAATGAATCGCGGCGGCCCCATTAGCCAGGCAAGCCCGACGAACCACCCATAAAGCCAACTTCCCTCAGCCGCCTGTCCGCTGTGACCTCTGATTGACACGTGCTTGAGATTCATTACATGCCACTGGCAACGGGCCGGCTCCGATGCCAGCTCAGATTCCCAGCTGTTGCTCTGGAGCGTGGGCAACAGGTCGTCGGGTGGCTGCGGTGGTACAGCGGTTCAGCGGTTTAGCGGTGCACGTTTCGGCTTGCCAAGCATTTCTGCAGCACAACAATGCAAACAATATCTGAAATCGAGACTAGAAAATTAACATCAATTAACCCAAGGCATTTGACTAACTGAAATCGATACCAAATACAATTCCAATTTATCGAAAACTCTTTATCTAAATTCAATTTGTATTCTTTTAAGTAAGTTTCTGTTCAGAGTAAAGTCGCTTTGCCCAATGAAAAACATCGTACTACTAAGTATTTCACACATTTAATTAGCCTTCTTTCCTGCCAACTATTTGGTATTCTCCTGAGAGCAGAGGATTTATTTTATTGTTATAATTTCGGCACTTCACACATTCACCCAATTATCAACTGAAAAGTACCTCACAAATTGTGAGTACACTCGCCGCCTTCAATGAAGACCAAACTTGATTTCGTTTATACTGATTTCAAGTGGCTTTTGGACTCGTTGAGCTGAAGGTAACTCAAAACCCAATTCAATTGCCAACTTTTTGGCTGCCTTTGCCATTTGCCAATTATCTCAAGTTTTGCTTTCATCCGAGGTCCGTCTTACAGTCCGCTCACTGACTTTGTTCTTTACTGTTTTACCTTTTTTTATGCCCTACACCCACTGAAAATGTATAAAGAGGGCTTAATGGCTTTTTAGCACATGTTTGTAACAGGCAGACAAATGTGTTTGCATACGTACCTAATCAGGAAGTCAAGCTAAATCGATTGAACGATAAATGATTTGTTATTTAATATATATTTTCTCTTTTGTTATATGAAGAATGTGCTTATCTGCTGTCGATAAATCGATATTCTTGAAATATCGATTTTGAGACGGGATTTCTTTAAGCAAAACTCGAAGATCATAAGAGACAGATTTGCCTTAAGCAGAACTCGAAGATTTTAAGACTTCATTCACTTCACTTTCCCTTGTTTCACTTCTTTGTGAGATTCGCTTCTCCCTTGAATTTTTTCCTGCGTTATATTTGTTTTCCGCTCTCCTTCTTCTTATGCTTCTCCCTTTCTCTTACTATTTTTTGCACTCTTATCTTAACTTTCAACTTATCTTCTTATTTCACTTTTCTCTGGTTTTCCTTTGAGCTCACCACGTAATTTCCTGACTATTTCTCTTGATATGCTTCTTCCTGCTATTTCATATATGCTTCTCACACAATATCGATGCATAGAGCGAGCCCAGAGGTAGAAGAAGCACAACCACTGCGTGAGAATCAAGCTAGTCGTCTGTTTCTAGCAGGGTAACTGCTAGTCGTTCACTGCCGTTCACTTGCAGGCATTCGATTTGTTTTTCGTTTCGGGTATTCACAAATTATTCGTGTCCACTCATCTGAAGCAGCTTCACGGCCGCCTTTTTTTGTTTGTGAGTCTTTTAATTTGTTGCGATTTTTGCACGCTCGCATGGGTAGCACTCGGCCCGCCACACACACACATACACACACACACAGACACACACTCGTTTTCAGTTTTGTTTGTTGGCAGCGCCACGCCCCCATTTGCCGGCTGTGTTGGCCGACTTTACGCTCGACTTAATTTGTTTACTGCTGGTTTGGTGGCCTTTGCCGTCGTCGCTGCGCGCCAAATCAAAAATAATGGCAGCCGAACCACGCCCCACCCACCGCCCAGCCCGATCCCAACCACCCGCCCCACTTCCCCTCGCCCTTGCCCTTTTGCCGAGCCGGCTGTGCGGGCCGTATGCAGAGAGAGAGCATCGCAGTGTCGCATATTTGAGCAGCTGCAATATTTATACAGGCTTTCATGCCCGGCCTGGGACACGCCCCCCCAAACTGCCGCCCAGCGCTGACCTTTTGTGTGTGTGTGTGTGTGTGTGTGTGTGCTGTCTGCGCTTTTCACATTTGTTTTTATGACACCGGCGAGCTGACCTGCATATGCTGCCGATTTAACCAGCCTGCCCCACTGCTTTCCGCGGCGGCTCCTAATGAATTGCAAGGACCCGAACGATTGCCCTTTTAGTCTTTTTAATTTTTTTATTTATTATTTTTTGGTGGCATTGTTGTGCCCGTTTTTATCTTTAATTGTGCGTTAATAGCGTAAACACTTTGTGCATTGTGTTTCCTGCGTACGCCTCGTAATTGTGCCCGGCCATAAAAAATGGGTCGTCGGTCAGCCTACCCGCTCCATCCATAGTTGCCCCCGGCCTTGGCTTTGCATTGAATGCGGCGAGCGAACTGATTTCAGTTGTAAAACAAATATTTGGCCAACTTGCGGGCTATTCATGGTGTAAGTGCAGCAGCGAGAAGCGATTGGAGAAGTGAAGTGGAGCAGCGACGAGGCGCGGCTTGCGTTCTTTTCATATTCATGCTGTTTACTTGCCGCCATTCGAAATGTGGTTCGGTTTCAGAAAAACACACATGAAGTTTTTTACTATGCTTATCCATTCGCTTCTCACTTTTCTGTTTACTTTTATTTTATTGTAATTTCCAATTTCACTTGCCTTACATTTTTCACGGTGATTTTTAAGTCTTTTCTCGATTAGCTGCTTATTCAATTGCTTCTCGCTTCGCATCTCGCTTCATTTTTGGCTTAACTTCTTTACTTGCTTAGCTTCATACTTAAGGTACGTTTCAATATTTTCTCTTATGACACTTTTTTGCATGCTTTTCTCGCTTCGCTTCTTCCGTCTGTCAACATATCTTAGCTTCTCTCTTAGCTTTATTCTCGTATTTTGTCTTTTTACCAAAACACATGAAGCTGTTTCTAAGCTTCGCTTCTTTATCTCTCAACCATATATTCGCTTCTCTCGTAACTTTTCTCTTGGCCTGTCTTTGTTTGTTCTTCCTGCTTCTCTTCACGCTTCTCCTTTACTTTTAATCAACCCTCTTATCTCATTTCACTTCGCTCTGGCTTCCTTTTGAGCTTTCCACGTAATTCCTATGACTATTTGGTTTGCTCTGGTTCTTCTTCCCACGCTCTCAGTTATCCTTATCACACAAACATACGCATTGCTTCTTGCTTGGCTTACGCTTCCAACTTTCATCTGAGAGCAGAACCATCCATCAGGCAATTTCCAATGTTTTCATGGACTTAAGCTTGGTTATATTAACAATCATTTGGCTGAGAATGAACAGCAAAAGCAAGAGCTCGTGATCCTGATGGAGTGAGCAGCTTTCAGTTTGCGCACAATCTCAGACCGAGTGCCCAAATGCACTGACTGGCTAATATGCCGGCTAAAAGGCTTACAAAGTTCTTGCTTGAACAGCAACTGCACTATTGCATTATGCTTCCACTAGCTGACTGGCTGACTGAATGGCTGAGCGACTGTCATCAATTTGTGCTATTTCTTTGCCATTTTGCTTAAAGTAAAACCACAGCCAGCCAACCACAACTCGAAGGAGGCGTGGGTGGAGCAGGAGGCAGGAGAATCAGCGGCAGCTCGTCGACTACGAAATGCAGCCAAGTTGACAAGCACTTGAGTGCGCATTAGAGGCGATGGTAAACAGCTATCTGCCATCTACTATCCGGTCTGTGCCTTGCCTCAGCTATTGCGGCGTGCGGGCGCCCGAGCAGGGACGCCAAATGCTGTCGGGCGCCCGAGCAGGGACGCAACTGTGGGCTCGTTCCTGATCGGGCGCTCGACATGTTTTGCTTAAATCAGCACACAAAAGCAGTCAACAGACAGGCAATCGCTTTGCAAACTCATTTCGATACCCTCTAACCATTAAAAAAAAAGTGCCCAGGAGGGAATAATCGTCCACGACCTCATAAGATTGCAAAGTCGAGCTGAGTCCACTTGGGCCTGTCTAAGAGAATATTGAGTACTTTGAATTTGGTATTGGTCTCGTTAGCCATAAGCGGATCATGCTCCTTTTTTTTCTACAAGCAATTACTTCAACCATTTCGTCAATCACCGATAATTATCGAATTTTCCTTAATGGCTCAGAGATTTGAAGAGCTGAATGCCACAAATATGGCATGTAGTTTTTTTCGTATGCCTTTTGCAGCTTGAGCTTATTTCAAATTATAAAGGATGCCCTCTTGCTCCAATATCGATAATGATTGTTAACAATTTCGATTTACCCTTCTTGAAACATATTTTAGAGTTGAACATAAAACTATAAGTTTAATAGTTTCTTAAACGAGAATCGATATGCAAGTTTTTGTGTAATACAAACAGATTGGGAAGATTACATTTTTTTCCATAGCTCGGATAAATAATATTTGAAAAAAGGGTTGCGGTTATTATATTTGCTATGTGCATTAATTCATATTTATTTCTATCAACGAGAATTGATTTTCAACTATTTGTGTAGCATATAGAGATTGGAATAATCTTTGTTTTTCGATAGCTCCGATAAATCGATAAAAAAAGGGTTGCGGTTATTATATTTGCTATGTGCATTAATTCATATTTATTTCAATCAACGAGAATTGATTTTCAACTATTTGTGTAGCATATAGAGATTGGAATAATCTTTGTTTTTCGATAGCTCCGATAAATCGATAAAAAACGGGTTTTTCTTGGTTATGATGATGATTTTTGTATCAATTAGATTTGAATTATTCAAATTTTGACTTTGATGAACCGCAATTTGTGGAATGAAGGGGAATTCAGCATAAAAGGTATGAAATAGGGAATCTATTTGCTAAAGCATGGAAGCACAGTCGCAGCATTTCTTATTTGCTGATTACAGGGTATTTGGCATTCGTGCAGTTTTGAATTAAATCTTTTGTACAGCATTTATCACCTTTGGTTGGTTGCCTTAACTATATAAGTGTATCTGGGACCCGATTCGGATTGGACACGTGGTTCGAGCGCATCTCGATTCTGGTCATTTTGCTGAACTGCATAACGTTGGGCATGTATCAGCCCTGTGTGGACGACACCTGTCTGAAGCCGCGCTGCAAGATACTGCAGGTGAGTAAATATAGCATAATGTCTACCTGTCTACCTTCCAGCCCCCTCCAGCTACCTGCCGGCCCTGTAGCTGTCACATTAACTGTCATTTATTTAAGCAATTTTTTGGCTCACTTCCCGTCTGCCTGGCTGATGACATCAAACAGGCACTTCGGCTCATTAGGCAGCCAACGCACACTGTGCGGGGCGAGTCGTTGGGTTTTTGGGGCAATTACAGAGCTACAGCGTATAGAAAATGTTCTGGTTGGGGCAGGATGGTGTGGGTGGGGGGTGTTCAACGTGAGAAAATGTTTGTAAATGATATGGAAGGCAGACATTTTGGCCGCAGCCAAGTGTAAAGCATGCGAAGGGCGCCAAATTGGCAACAGGAGCGGCACGGGGCCAAAATAACAATGAGCATGAGCAACTGAGCCACCAGGATGAGCACGACGACGACATAAGTGGCGCCCATATTGCTGAGAGTTGTTTGAGCAGCGCCACAGACGATGCGAAGACGGCGACTGAGTCTGAGACAACTCCCGCAGAGCTGGGCGCAACATTCATGTGCGTCAGTCTATGCACGGCTGTCTTTAGCACTGGAGGGACTTGTGGGCGGGTCACTTCATGCATGATATAGCAACACGTAGTGCCAGCTAAAGTGGACAACAGCTCGTTTTGACAAGTGTCAACCACATTTTTCTTCCAGCACTAAATGAGCTCCACTTCCCCCTCTCTTACACTCTCTGTCACTCCCTTGCTCGCTTTATTCAAGAAAGCGATGGAACAGTTGATAGAAATTAGTTTATGTGCAACTTTTGATATTTAATCTGTCAGCAAATATCGAATACCTTACTTGCCAAAAAGCATCCAAGTCACTCTGCAGATATGCAATAAAACTAACTAAGTTAATAGGGACTGAAAGTAGATATATAACGACATAACGTAGATATATATTCTTGATCAGCACGGTGAGCTGAGTTGATCTAGCCAAGCCAGTCTCTTTGTCCGTCCAAAGGAAACTCTAGATACTTGAAACCAAAAGTACACAATCTCGAATATCATACCCAAGGAAAAAATACCAAAAATAATTCTCATGAAGATACATATACTAATTACGATATTTCTGGTATAAATAGACGAAGAATAATTCACTTTTTGGATAGATAAAAAGAAAAAATATTGAGAGAAGATATTTGGGTATGGTACAAAGAGGCAGGAGCTTAACAAAATATAGTAAATGAATATTAATTACAAGTATTAAGTCTAAATCTTAAACTGTTAACTTTATCGCACGCAGATCTTCGATGACATCATCTTTGCATTCTTCGCACTGGAGATGACGATCAAAATGGTGGCCATGGGCATGTGTGGCAAGAACACGTATTTGGCGGACTCGTGGAATCGACTGGACTTCTTCATCGTGCTGGCCGGACTGCTCGAGTATGTGATGCATGTGGAGAACCTGAATTTGACGGCGATACGCACGATCAGAGTGCTGCGGCCGCTGCGTGCCATCAATCGTATACCCAGTAAGTGTGGTGCCGCGGGGTTGTCACGGCCTTGCACGGCTGCAGCACTCTTTGATGTATTTCCACTGTAGGTATGCGGATTCTGGTCATGCTGCTGCTGGACACCCTGCCCATGCTGGGCAACGTGCTGCTGCTCTGCTTCTTTGTCTTCTTCATCTTCGGCATCATCGGGGTGCAGCTCTGGGAGGGCATACTGAGGCAGCGCTGCACACTGGAACGACCCGATGGCATGATATATCCCATAACGTAAGTGCAACGAGGCGTGACTAATGGGGATTATTTTCGGTTTTTTTTTTTTCATTGTATTATCTTTTTGGTTTACTCGATTCGGCGGGCCCTTGGGGCAACGGACGTTCAACTGAGTTGACAGCGAGAATAAGTCACGTGTCTGTCTCTGTCTGCAGGCGCCTCTCATGCAATATACTATAATTAAGATATACCTACATATATATATACATATATATATATATATATATATATGCCTATATATCGCTTAGCTAAGACAATTTGAGTTTTTGGTAGTCTTTTGGCTTTGATACGGTTTGTTTTTGTAAAAATCAGTTTTGGCTTTGATTTTTGATAGCTGCTTGGCTCATTTCAGGCTCTCTCTCTCTCTCTCTCTCGCTCTCGCTCTCTGGGCTGCCTGGCTGCTTATTCGTGTTTTTTTTGCTTTTTCTGTTGGCTTTGCTTTTGATTTTTGATAAATGCCACTGACAGCTCACACACACACACACACACACACACACACACATACATAGATAATAAGCGACGTTTGCTGTCCTTGTCTAACATTCAGTATTTGCATATCGAATGCATTGGCCGCCGTTCATCAAAAACTTGGTTGCCATCCTGATGAATGTTTGTGGCATTGCCCATTTGGCTGCCAGTGACAGGCACAGTGTTGCAAAGCGCGCACGAAAAGTGTTAAGCATTGCCTGCTGGATGGCCATTAACTGAAATATGTTCATTTAATACAATTAATATGTTAATTTATGCTTAATTGTCATTTAAATTTTAATTGACTCGCTCGGCACAAAGTGACCATGGAGGATAGTCAATTTAATTGGCCACATTTTCACGCCACTTCGCCACTTTAACTGTTTTTTAATCTTTTTTAAATGCCGAAAACTGAACTGTCTAAAGTGACCATGGATGACAGACGTTGCCTGCAGCTCTGATCCTTCATATTGTCCAGAGTTGCTTTACGTCTATAGCCAGTGTTGGTCACGGCTTAAAGTCGCATTTAAACTATTATAGTTTATTGCACAATGCACAGCATAAATTAGTAGGCACTTTAAGTGACCATGGAGTACGCTCACAGGCTGTTTATTCTGTGAGCTGTGCCTCCATGCTCACTTTTATGGTACTTCTGCATGAATGGCTGTGTAAAGTGTGGGTTGACACAGGCATGTCAACTCCATGGTCACTTAGTGGGCCTTCCCTTTTACATTTTTCAGCCGCCTCTTTGTGGCTTTGACAGCTGGCAAAGATTTTAAACTTGGCAAACAATCATTTATCACTGGCCATGGTAGCCCTCCCTCCCCCCCTCTCTCTCTCTCTCTCCCTCTCTCTCTCTCTCTCTCTCTCTTTCACTGTGTGTGCGTCTGGCAATGACGTCAGCAGCAGCAGCAAGAAAAAAACTAACACACACACATACACACACTCACACACACTTATTCGCAGATGGACACCCCAAAAGTAGGCAACATACTTGTTTTTTGTATTTTTTTGCCAACCAGTTTTTTGATGCAGTTTTTGCGTTATCGTTAATCGATTGTTTTGCATGCACGAAACTGTACATAATATAAATATGAGCGCTTTTTTCCATTAATATGCTCGCATTGCCGGAAAATAGGCCACACTCGCAGGTGTTAATTTGATGCCATTTTTCGCTGGCTCGCATAATTGTTGTAAATAATTCGCTGGCAATGCAAATTTATTTTGATTGCATTTCCAATTGTCGCTGATCATAATTTTCGTATTTATCTTTAATCATTTCACACACGATGCAAATCACATATTTTTTCTACATATAAATAGTTATAAAGTTTTTATTTGAATGGGCAGCACTTTTCGTCAAAATGAAATATTAGCTTTATTATTTGTATTGATTTTTGATGGCACTCGGGTTCGTTGACAAATGGGCTTGTGTACATATATGCTTTATACACATATATATATTCCCAATTTATGGCTATTTGTTCATAATCATATATATATAGATTATGATTAGCAAGAGTTCTGCAACAGAGTGCATATGTTTTTATGCTTGCAACTGTTTCTGCCTTTGCCAAGACAAACAATTTCCTAATGAAATTATATCGGATGTTTAAGAAAACAGAACAAACTAATGAATTTTCCTTGCTGAAAAGCATATATACCCTACTTTTGAGTCTGTCTGTTCCATGTGAACATCGCAACCATGTAGTCGCACCTTGGTGCAGCTGCATTTTCCTTCAGCAGGCTCTGCGCATACCCAAGCCGAGTGGATCGTGTGGCTATATATATATACTACATATATAGCATTAAAATATCGCTCGAATATTGTTTTTTGTCTATGAAAATATAAATAGCTTTTATTTCTACACCTTTCTAATCTTTCTTTCTTATCAAAAGAGTCAACAAATTGTATTAAGTATTTCTTAAATTTAAAGCTTTTTTAATTTCATAGACAAGATTTTTATTTTATTTTTATTTTTATTTTTCTAAACATAAACAAACTTTCTCGATTTTTTTAAAATTGTTTTTGTTCATATATCCGCAAGGGTATTTAAGCTTCGGCTTGAAGTTACATGTTGCTGTCCTTTGCTTTATTTTTATATATTTTTTGTCCCATTTTTATTTGGTCGCGAGTTTTTCGTGTACAGTTTTGTGTTACATTGTACAGTTTTTTTTTTGGCAACACACAACCAGACACACACGCACACCCATTTTTGGCACACTATCACACACACACACACACACACACACACACAAACACATGCGGACCCTTGTACAGTCACGCGCAAATGCAAGTCGCGTTTCATTCGCCCGTTTAGCAACAATTTAAGAGCCAGTCACAAAGACCAGGTGCGAGTTCCTGTTTTTTATGAGCAGACAACAGACCAGATACAACAACAACAACAACTAATACAGCAACAAAAACCAAAAAACAACAGAAACCCGTAACAATAATACAAAAATACCACAAATATGTATATATTTCTAAATTCTTTTCCAGTTCTTTCCTTTATTTTCTTTTTCCCTTTTATTTTCTAATACTTCTTCGTTGTAGTTGAAACAAGTCGAAATACGATAATAATCGGCAATATAAAATAACAATTTGATTTCTAAAATTGGCAGCCAAGTAAAAAAAAACTAAAGAAAAAAAAATACTAAAAAAATAAATTGAAACAAAATTTTCCGATTCTCCTCAGTTATTCTTTGTCGTATTAAGTTTGAAATTACCAATGCTTTACTCCAATTTGCAAGTGAAATAAATACCAAAAAAAAAAATACCATATTTATATATATACAAAAACAAAAATCATACCGGGAACAAACTTTTTGTTTACAGGGGACTACCTGAAGTGTACAGAGTTCGAGTCCGTGTTAACTCGTAAGATAAAATGATTTATTTTTCCCCCTTTTAAATACCTACCCACACAAAACAAAAATACCAAAAAAAAAAACACCAATAAAATACCAAAAAAATTACAACACTAAAACTAAAAAGAAAATTTGATAAACAACACAACAACAATACACAACACATATAAACGAACCCTAGTCGTCTAATATAGCTCTTGCTCTCTCCCTAGCGTACTTTCTCTCTCTCTCTCTCTCTCTCCCTCTCTCTATCTAATTATCTGTTACTCTCTCTTTTTCCTACTAACCCAATCGTAAACTTAAGGCAAGCGCTTGCTCGCTCGCTGTCTAATCCCCAACGATAGTTATTACGATATATCGCAAGCACTAACCCGTTTGCTCTCTTTCGTGTTACACGCTCTCTTGCTGAGCTCTAGCTGGCCGCTCTCTTTCTATCCAATACACTACCTCTGCCTCTCTCTATCTATCTTTCTCTTTCCCATAGTACCCTCCCAAAATGCTAGTCTCAATATATATATTTATGTGTATACTTAACGAATCTCTTCTCTCTCTCTCTCTCTCTGGTTCTCTCTCGTACACTTTATAAGTAATATTTGCAGATATTTACAACCTAAATACGTACTTAATACTTTTAAACTACTTATACTTAAACTATATATAGACTTTATAAACTAGCCCTTTACGAAAACAACAATATCTGCTCAATTAACAGTTGCCAAACACAACACTACTAAACCATTGGCGTTACACGTTATGCAACACTGAAGACTGTTACTTATCACACACACACCCTTAAGCTGATGCCACAGCGGCCGCGAGAAGCGTAACGATATATAAATCAAAGCAAAACGAAAAGCGAAAAGTGAAGCTTAGCAACTAAAAACTAGCAGATATTAGTGAAAAGCGAAGTGAAGAAAGAAGCACAGCGATTCAATTTGCGAACTAAAACTTATCCTAACGCAAGGTCCGACACCAAACGCTGCATAACGAGAAGCGAAGCGAGAACACATTTTAGCTCCCAGCTCAACTAAACGATAAGTTAATAAGCCCAAGCGAGCAGCAAAGCTAAGCGAGAAGCACATCAATCCGACTCGCATTGCCATTCGAACCAAAGCGAGAAGCTAACTGAATGAAATATGCTATTCTAAGTTTATTCTTGCTTATTATCCAACGATTCGCTAAATGCTTCTCGCTTCTCCGGAGGCTACTGCAAAGAACTCTTGCATTAATTCTGCTCACTTTGCTCATGTCAAGTTTCTTTCTGCTTTCGAATCCGTTTCTCTCTTGGCTGACGACATCTTCTGCCTGATGACGCCTATCCAAACGCTTCTCGCTTCTCAAATAGTTTTGCCCAATGCTTCTCGTTTCTTCTTAGTCTACAAGCTCTTCACTTCTCTCAACGGAGCTTCTCGCTCCAGTCAACGCTTCTTATGGCCAGTGGGTCATCAGCCTTTACTCTAAACGATTGCCGCAGTACACTAAAACACACATGCACACGCACACACACACACATACACGTACACACTCGCACACCTGCAGCAGATACTAGTTACTCGTAAAGTTTTGTAGCCTCCTCTGTGTGTGCGTGTCCGTGTCGTAAACGTAGTGAATATATGTATGTGTCCACGTCCTAGTCCTCGTACTCGTCCCCTTGTTCGTCCCCGTACTTGTAAATGTTTTAGCAACAGTTTTCCACTTGAACTTACACAAGTTGTGTTTTTTTTTTAGACTTGATGTTGTCTGTGTCTATGTGTGTGTATCTGTGTGTTTCAGTTTTTCTTTTCTGTTACTCTGCGTTATTTTGAGGTCTAGTTTGAAACTGACCCCAGAAAGTGTTACCAAAAAAAAAAAAACTCAAATTTTCCCACAAGCAGACAAATTAGCCACAACACACAGCCACACACGCACACACACATACACACATACACATGTAACTTATGTTTTTTTAGGGCATTTTCTTTAGCGTAGCTCTTGCAAAAAATGTTCATGCTGTTTTACCGTGCAGCAAATTCTGTTTTGTTTGTTATTTGCAATTATATTTACTTACACACACACACACACACACACAGCTATACACACACACACACATACATACTAGAGCACCCACCTGAAGCTACATGTTATCTATGTATGTGTGTGTATCGTTTGTAAGCTCAACTCTTTTTACAGGAAAAACCATCAGTTTCTATTGCAAAGGTATTTAAAGCTGCCCCCGGCCCCTAGCTTAACGTACCCCGAACCGCACACTCTCTCTCTCTCTCACTCTCTCTCGCAAACGCTTCACACAGCTTGCCACAAATGGAAGCTACAACAATAATCAAAATTAAAGTCGCATTACATACTCCGCACACACATACACACACACACACACACACACAAACAAACGCATACAAAAAAGTTTTGCATACTTTTGCGCGCGTGAATTTTATATTTTTTATTTTATCTTATTTTTTTGGTTGGGTTTGTTCCTGGTGCGCGCACGTGCATATTAAACACATTTTATAGTCACACACGCACACACATACACACACACACACACACGCGTACATTTACGTTGACATTTTTGTGCCTGATGCCCCGCCCCGCTCCGCCCCGCCCCGCCACGCCCATTGTCGCTGTGGCGGCCCGTTCGTCCACTTTGCGGCAACGTCGCGCGTTTAATTTAAATTGCTTTGGCGTTACTTTTGGCTGCTTCTTCTTCTTTTGTTTTATCGCCGTTTTATCTTCTGTTTGTCTTCTACTTTTTACTCCCTTTCTTCTTGTTCGTTCTTTTGCTTTCCCCGCGCATTACGTTTTAATTTTGTGGCCTCTTCTTTTGGGTGCACACTTTTTTGATGGTCTACGTTATATGTTTTTTTTTTTCGGCAGCTTAGTCGCCTTTTTGTGGCATCTTCTTGTCTCTGTTTCTCTCGCTCTCTGTCGCACTCTCTCTGCGGTTAACAGGTACAGTTGTGTTTGTAGCCTGTGTGCTTGAACAGTGCTTTGTGGTGTGACGCACGTTCTTTGATCTTGCCAAAGCTTCGAGCTTTCTTTCTCTCTCACACACGGTCTCACTCTCTCTCATTTTCTGACTACTTGTCTGCCTTGCTCTCGCTGTTTGCCGCTCCCTCTCTCTCACTCTCTCTCTCTCTCTCTCGCTTAAGGCAAGCTTGGCGCCTTTTAACTGTTTTATGCTTAAAGCTTGAAGCACTCTCTAATTGATTTAAAAATTCACATTGCTGCTGCAAGCTCAAAGCTCTTACTCTCCAAATTCACTTTGCTGCTGCAAGCTTAAAGCTTGACGACGCTCTCACGCTCTGAAACTTCATACTCACGATCTTTTTCAAAAGCTTCAAGCTTGTTGCTTGTTGCTATCACTAACTTTCAACTCACGCTTTTGTCCAAAGCTTTAAGCTTTTGCCTCTCTTCCTCTATTTATCTCCTCTTCTGTCGCAAGCTTTCACGTCAAGCCTTAAGGCGCAAAGCTTGTTTCTTCCTTTTCGCAAAAGCTTTCGACTCACGCTTAAAGGTGCCTGGGCCTGCTACTCTCGGCAGCTCAACTTACAAGCTCTCGCTCTCTCTCTCTCTCGCTTTCACTCACAATTTCTCATTGTCTCACTTTCACTTAAGAATTGGATTTTGCATTGGATCAACGTGTCTCATTTTGTCAAATATCAATTAATGGCTCACACTCTCACACTTACTCTCTCTCTCTGTCTCACTCTCGCTCTCAGTCACTCTAATTTGTAGCAAGTGTTCTCGCTCTGTGCCTTATCGAACTTCTCGGTTCCGGGCACAGAACACAAAATTCTCACAAAATCAAAATTTCATGCGAAAAGAAAAGAAAAGAAAAACTTAATACTTAAAAATCTCTCATGCAACTTTTCACACATACTGTCGCTCTCTCGCTATCTCGCTATCTCTCTGTAACTCTCTCTCAATATCTCCATGTTTGTGTAAATGTTATAATATACTAGTAATCGCATAACGGCATTTACTCTGCGTATTAATTATAATATGAATTAAAATAATATGTGAACTTTGATTGTTAAAAAAGACTATTTTTTGTGCTCTCTCTCTCTCTCTCTATGTTTATCTCTTTCTCTCCCTCTCTCTCTCTCTCTCTCTCTGTTCTTCTCTTTGTTCTCACTCATTGTCCGACTCTCTTTTATATATACATATATATATATATATATACTTCTTTTCCGTCTGTCTGTGTTCATGCAACTTGTTTTTTTAACCATTTGCCACCCGCAACATTCTCTTTACCCATCGAACGCAATTCGCAGCCTATCGCAATATTATGAATTCGCCAAGGATCAGGATTATATATGCTCCACGCCCGAGGATTCGGGCATACTGTGCGGCAATTTTCCGCCCTATCGCATTGGCTCACTCGTTTGCACCGGTAAGTGTACATAAAATTAAAAACAAGAACTTCCCAGCCGTAGCTTAAGGCAACACCCCCCCCCCCCCCCCCCGCACACACACCCTATACCTATACCCGTGTAACTAATCCCCCCTACCCCTAGCCGCCTCACCATGACCACGCCTCCCACTTAATGAGCTGCAAATGGCGCTTGTTAATCAAATTTTGATGGCACTTTTAATTGCTTTCGCGCTGCTCAACTTTGTAGCTTATAAGTAAGCACCCGCACTCCCCCGTCATCACACTCCCCCTCCCCACCTCTCTCTCTCTCTTGTTTGACATCTGTGAACTGTAACTTTCTTGCAGAGGAGGCCAAACTGCTGGATTTGAATGAGCCAACGAACACGTCGTGCGTGAATTGGAATCAGTATTACACGACTTGCAAGCAGAGCGGCGAGAATCCCTTTCAGGGCACCATATCCTTTGACAATATCGGCATGGCATGGGTGGCCATATTTCTGGTAAGTTGCAGTTGGCCCCAGAGTCGGCCGCAGAGTTTGCCAATTAGCGCTTCAACTTTCGCTGAAAACAAATAACAATGACAACATTGACACAGCACAAGCCGAACTCATGGCGCGGCAGTCACAGGACTTACGACTCGTCGCTGTTGCATGTTAATTTCGCTGCTCAGTTGCCACTTTTGGCATCGCTTTCAATTAAAACAACAACAACAACAACAACAACAACAGCAACAGCAGCTGCCAATTTGCATAGGGCAGCTGGGTCACGATTCGCCCCGCGGCAACACGCGGCGTATGCGCAATGTGTCAATAGTCAGCGTCATGTTGCCCGCAGCCCGCAGCCCGTCGCCAACAAGCAGCTATATTTCGTTTGTGGCATTGATTGAACCATTTTGTGATCCATCAGCTTATTGGACAACACAATTTCAACTCAAACGGACAGTTGTACTTATCAACTATCAATTGGAATTGAAAACATAAATAGACAAACAATGCCACAAATAAAGAGATAAAGAACAAGACACAGATGTATACAAACAGAGATGTAAATAAAAAATAGATTCAGATAGACATGGTCAAAGATGCAAAGGTACAGATAAAGATAAAGATAGAGAAAAGTGAGAGCTGTTTAGATACAGATAAAAACAAAAAGATACAAACATATAGTCACGGATAAATGTGTAGAAATTAACATAATTATGCATGAACCTATAAATTTCTATATAATATAAACTACATACATATATGTATATGTACTTTAGATATTTCCATACAAAAAAACAGGCTATAGAAGCAGATACTTATGTACTTACACGCAGGCTATTAACAAGTATGCATAGCTACAAAATAATGTCTAAAGATAGATCTATAATTAGCTACAGGCACAATAACAAATCGATGAACAGATATGCAAACTCAGATACGACCTTAAGATACGTATACTCACTAGGACAGGTGTGGATGCACATGATTGGTCACAGATGCAAACTGAAATTCTTTGAATTCAAATTTGCCTGCAGGCTACAGATGCGTGCACAGATATTAACATAAATATCCATATAGCTATTGATAAATATAGATACACATGCACAAATATGCATAAACACAAATAAAATCCACAATTATAGAGACTCTTACAAAACAAATCAAGATACAGATGCAGGTAAATACACAGATACAATATAAAGATATGCATGCTTTAGAAAGATGCAGATAAAATTCGATACAGATACAATTACATAGATAAGAATTGTAATACAATTATCCAAACATAGCGGAAAAAGATACATATGTGGATAAACCTAAAGATATTGATTGAGGAAAGATACAGTCAACAGATACAGATAGTTTTTACATGTATTCAGATAGGAATACTTATATGCAGATTAAGATTCATAAATAGAGTGATAGCTAACAGATAGAGGTACACACACAGATAGAAATTAAAGATGCAGATACAAAGATGAAAGTTTCATAAGAGAAATACAGATACAATTCGCGCTTCCATAGATAACAGTATAAATGCAAAGCTCCAAACACTTAAAAGATATAGTTACGGGTAAATATGCAAATACAAGCTAAACATATTGATTAAGAAAAGATACATCCTGCAGATACAGATACATTTTACAGATACAAATACATATGTGCATGTAGATTGAGATTTATAAATGCATAAATATATAGACGCATATTCAAATTGATGATAAAGATACACAGATAAAAGCTTTTTAAGAGAAGGTTCCAGATTAAGATACATATACAATTCGGGCTTTAAAAGATACCAATTTGAATACACAAACGTTAAAGACATATATTCGGATGCAACCTGAAGATATTGATACTGAAAGATATGTACAGATTCAGATGCACAGAGAGAGCAAAAGGCAACAGATAAATATACATATGGAGTTAAAAATTACAGATACAGATAAAAGCTAAATAGTAAAAGGACAAAGATTTAGATACAGATAGAGTTTGAACTTGAATAGATACCAATTTGAACGCAATAGTTAAAGATATATATTCAGCTATAAGCTAAAGATATTGATACTGAAAGATACTAACATGCTACAGATAAAGATACACATACATATAGATAAAAGACACAGATTCAGATATACTTAGATACTAACTGAATTGCTGAGGTTCAATTGGCCCAAATACAGATACATTTCCATCCAAAAGCCCAATAAATTTCTATTTATACACTTAGTATATTCAGATACAGATACACGAATGTAGATACAAATGCAGCTCGCAGTCCCCTCCCCCCCCTCCCCCCCCTCTCAGGCCATCGCTGTCATCGTTTTGCGGCTGCTTTGATTTGTGACTTTGATATTTGCCCATTAGGGGTAGCCGGTTGCAGGCGATTGTGGGCTGTGTAGGGGTGGGGCGGGGTTTAAACGCTTTGCAATTAAACACAAATCAAATACGCATTAAACCAGATGCCGCGCGGACAGCACAGGACACGACACGTCACGACCAGATACGAGCGGACGGACCAAGAACAGCTCTGAAATATTACGCATACGTGACGTGGTACAAAATGAAGAGCTTCAGTTGTCGCTGCTGCCGCTGCTGCTGCTGCTGCTGCTGCTGACCTTTGGGCTGTTGCCACGCTGCTAATTACGCTAAAAACAAAACCAACAACAACAACAACAAATAATATAACGCTTGTCACTTGTCATTGCAGGTCATCTCGCTGGAGGGCTGGACGGACATTATGTACTACGTGCAGGACGCGCACAGCTTCTGGGACTGGATCTACTTCGTTCTGCTAATTGTGGTAAGTGCGCGAATGCAGACGAAATTCACAGTTGAAAATTTGTTTAACGAAATGTACTTGGAATATCCTGATTGACTGACTGACTGACTGACTGACTGACTGATTGACTGACTGACTGGCGGATTGATGATCAAAGCCCAGCCAAATCTGTGAGAGCTAGATTGCTTAATTCCTGAACAGAGTTCAATTTCGCGCACGCTGAGACAGCAAATTCCACCCGCAAGCGTGGAAAATATGTGGAAAATAGTTGAACAAAACTTGTTTGTTTAACTTTCCAAACGGGTTTCAAATTCATTGCCAGGAAACTTTACGAAAATGCATTTGAGACATCTTTAACACTTTTCGGCTACATGGAGGTCAAACGCTGGCTGGGCTCAAGTTCGAGTTTCCTGCTACTAAATTACAACTTAAACACGTTTTTTATAGCCTGGCCCTATTGAAATAAGGTCAAACGGGCAAATTGATTTTATGCAGATGTAATTAACAGGCAAAAGGCGTAGTTTCCATGCCCTTGACTTATAAATATCTACTCGCTCAGCATCAGCAGCCGAGTCGATCTAGTCATATCCTGTCTGTCTGTCTGTCTGTCTGTCTGAGTTTGAACCTGCAGATTTTAGAGTCTATAAGAGCTACAGACCTGAATCTCAAGCGTGATTCAAATCGATATCTTAACACTTATCTGAGCATAAGTCAAATTTGGTACGTAGCATATCTTCGATTATAAACAAATCCAGAATATTTCACTTTTCAGAGGCTCTCCACCGAAATGTAGAAAGAAAAACAACTCAATTTAATGGGCATAGTCTTGGGCTTTTGTATTAACGCCTACTTGCATGCCATGCTTATGCCCTGATTTGAATTTGCCAAAGATCGGACAACAAACACCGAATTTATGCAAGAACACATTTCCCTTGGTGCGGGCCTGAGGAAAGAAGAAGCACAGCCTGTGTGTTCTTATGTACATATGTGCGCATAGCAGAAAACTGCAATGCTTGTAAATTCAGGGAAGCGACTAGCGCACTTTTAGTTGTTGTTGCTGTTGTTGTTGTTTCTTGCTTATTTTCTGTAAATAATCGACTTGAGTTGGTTGCACAAAGCTGCAGCTAAAGCAATTTGAAAATGTGAATAAGTAAGTAAACTTTTGCACAGACACACAGCTAGAACTGACCTGGCCACAATAATAAAATATAAGAGAGCAGCTGCCCGCTGGGGGAGGTTAGACGCATCTGAACGTGCAACTGTCCAGCTGGCAACATGTTGCAAAGCTGATGCTGTGTCTCCCTCTTGTCTGTGTGCGTGTGTGTGTGTGTGAGTGTGTGTCTGTCTATCAAGACAGGTGTCCTTGGACTAATTAAAAGCCTTTTAAGCAAACAGACACACACTCTGCCACACACACACACACGTGGGCAATTGCATTATTTATGTTTAAAGTTTGCTCACATATAGCGCGCTCTCTCGCTCCCACACACGCACACACACACACACCCGCGCGTGGTTGTGCCAGCTGCTTTGTTAGCTGCCCATTTTATGTGCAAAATGATTTTTGCTATTGCCCAAGCGACAACAACAGCAACAGCTTTTGATATGCAAATAGCTAGCAGTCTATGCCCAGCATATCCACCTGCCACTGAGTCCATCCACTGCCAATACCCAGCCACCCCCCCCCCCCTCCCTTCCCCCACTCAACCCGACTATCCGGCTTGAGCTATTGAAAGTTGCTTGTTGCTGGCAAGGAAATTGCATATTTATGATTTTAGAAGCATTTTGTGCAGCGAGTGCGCCACACAAATACAAAATTTAGAAACATTTTTCTTAGAATACCCTGTAAAAGTGACAACACAAGGGGAGAGAGGCTGACCAGGCATGTGCTCAACTATAAAATCGACTTGATGCAGCCCTGTCAGTCAGTTATCTGTCCAGATGTAGCTGGCCTCTCGGCAGTCTGAGACTATACGAAAACTTGGAAGGTAGCCTCTCCTATCACATAGGCAGATAGAGTTCGTCGCAGACTCAGATTTAGAGGTGATAATCCCGATACAGTATAGTCTGTTATAAGATATACAAATCTGAAAATCGAATTATCGATAACATCGATTGCATTGATTTCTTTATCGATAACAAAAATTCATTTATCGATTGCGCCTTCTCGGCTTAAATTGTTACACAATACACAATTTAGATTTAGTAAGACAACGTACTTATGCATGGGGATTAAATTTCTAAATAAATGCTTTATAATACATTTGCCAGCCCAATTTTGTATTCTAAAAATTTAAAATTATTTCAATTAAATTACATTAATATTTTTTTAATAGAAAACAATAAAAAGAAATCAGTTTTTTATATCCGAGCGAGCGCTAGAATTTGTGTGCATAAAGATTGGCTTCAATTTGTGTACAGGGTATCTCTCTAGTCTGGCAGATAGTTGCATTTCTTTCTTGTCGTCCTAGTTTTGGTCGTTTTTTTTTTGTTGTTGCTCTTATTGTTATTGTTGCTGCTGCTGATGCTATTGTTGTTGAAAATATGTTTTCAATTTAAAGTTAGCAAATTTGTTTTGCCAGAAAGCTATTAAAATGCAACAGCAGCTAATGGATGACCATCTGCAGCGGAAGAGGCCAAACAGGAGCGAGAGAGAGCAGTAGAGAGTGGGAGAGAGAGAGGGGGGGGGGGGGGGAGAGCGAGTCAAATTGGCAGCTCAACCAATTTGCAGCAAAGTCATCGAACGCACAACAAATCAAAAGTTCCACAACTCGCAACAGCCCGAGCTGCCTATCGAAGCTGCCCCAATTTGTGGCAAGTTCTAGCCAAGTTCGAACTGTCCGCTGGTTCAAATCGAATGTACATTTTTAAGTCTTTGTTGCAGCAAACTCTGGTTTTAATCAGATATCATTTGGTGTTCATATTGCAGATTGGCTCGTTCTTCATGATCAACCTGTGCCTGGTCGTCATTGCCACCCAGTTCTCGGAGACGAAGAAGCGCGAGATGGAGCGAATGCGTCAGGAGCGTGCCCGATATACGTCAACATCGACGCTGGCGAGCAGCACCAACAACTCGGAGCCGGCCACATGCTACGCGGAGATTGTCAAATACATAGCCCATCTGTGGCGCCGCTTCAAGAGACGAATGTTAAAGAAGTACAGATTATATAAGTATGCTGCTTGTCCTTTTTGATTTGATTCAATTATGTTTTTCGTTCACTTTTTACCATTTACCGTTTACCGTTTACCGTTTACATCGTTTGTTGTTCTCTTGTTTTCTGGCCGTCCAAGTTCCCATCAAATATTTAACATCAACTTCACAATTGCTTGAGCTTAACAACAACTGCAACTGCCAAATTGTGGCCAGGTTGGGCTTTCATCTTGTATTTAACAAATTCAAGGACTAATCCTCGCGCTAATCTCACTTGAGCAGCCTCTCTCCCTCTCTCCCTCTCTCTCTCTCTCTCTCTCTCTCTCTGTCTAAATGATTGACTTAGTCTTTGACAGGACTCACTCTCGACTTTGGCTAATTGTTGATAACTTGAGCCTTGTCAGCCGAACCATTTGATTTTGTTTCCATTTAATAATTCAGCAAAATATGTATCCCAGATTTCAGCAGCTTATTGCAACTAATTTGGCATTTACAGCTACAAATTAAACATGTGAAAAACATTTTAATAATCTTTTTCAAATCGAATTCCTTTGATTTGTGCTTTGTTTGGTTTTTTTTTTTTTGTCTTATAGTCTGCAGCTGAGGCTGGCATCTATCTATATAAGGAGCTTCGTGTTCTCTTTGGCCTTAAGCTTGATTCGATCTAAAAACTCTTGACTTGGCTCAGGTCAAGCTTTGACTCTGTTATTGAATCAATTCAGGGTGGCGTTTCTGCTGGAATAAACGATATTGGGGACTTGAAACACATCTTCCTAAGCTCCACTTTCCCAGACATAAAAAGCTGTTCTCTTATTCGTGAAGCTGTCATATTCCTGCTTCGTTGCTTCTACTTTTGCTGAGCGATACTTTCCAGAAATTCATCTTTTGAATACCCTTGTGGAGGATATTATAATTCAGTCATGAGATGTATAACGCATTGAAGAAGACATTTAGCCATGTTTGTCTGTCCGTCCTAACGTCAGTCTGCCTCTATACAAACTAATCTCTCAGTTGTAAAGCTATATTGATGGAACTTTCTTTCGATCGGATCGGACCACTATATCATACAACTAATTTGTTTATCAAGATATCTTGACCAAACTCGGCATTTATAAATTTCACTATTTTTCTAATATATATGCAAAATCTTCTTAACATCGGAGCACTATATCATAAAGCTACCAAAGGAACGATCGCTTGATAAGTAGGTTTGTGTATGGAAAACCGTTTCAATCATCAAGATACCTTGTTCAAACTCTTATCAAGATCGTATTTCTATATTATGTAGCTCTATAGGCCGAATCAGTCGAAACACGAGTTTTTGTATGGCAAAATATTCGGTTTTCCAAGGCACCTCATTTCTGCATAGATCTTTAATTCTGAGCTCGGGTATTATGCATCGTAGTTCAGTTTTGTCTATATAAGTATAATATATCTATTTATTAAGAGATTGAACGCTGTAAGCCATGTTGTAATACATCAAATGGACTTGCTGGTCCCACCTGTTAACCAGATATTAGAAGCTTCTGCCTAGACTGAGTCACCTACTCCCCCCCCCCCCCCCCCCCCCCTCCACCGATTCCACCCGCAGCCCTAACCCTCGTCGTCGTTCGATTTTATTGCAATTTATTTGCGAGACTTCGCTTTGAATTCGATCCATTGCGCTGCGCCCTCTCGACTTGCTCGTCTGATTCGCGGACTCGTTTTGGTTTTACTTTTTCATATTCTTTTTTTTTTGTGTATTTTGTATGATTTATTAAAAATTCATTTAACATGCGTTCCGACTCTCACGTCCTGCAGCGCACGTGTCCTGGCGCACGTTTTTTATGCGTTTCGCGTGCTTTTCCACTTTCTTTTTTTGTTACATTTTTATTTTTTATATAGTTTTTCTTTTATTTGTTGTTATTTTTGTTCAGCTTTTTAGTTTTCTCGTTTACAGTTGTCAACTGTTTGGGTTTTGCATATTTTATGGCCTTTGCTTTTCAATTATTTGCACTTGCATCTGGTCGCGTGTGTTGTTCGGTGTGTTGCTCTCTGTCTGTGTGTGTGTGTGTGTGTGTGTGTGTCTCACACAACAAACATGGGCGCAACACACAGAACATTGCATAGAGTTTAGACTTAGTTGCTTAGTCATGAAATATCGATGTGAACGTGAACGTGAACATGAATGTGAATGTGAATGTGAATGTGAATGTGAATGAAGTGAGTGACAGCCTGAGCTAGATAAAATGTATGAAAGCTATGAACTATGCTAGGATATACATAGAACCAACAGAATAGAAAAACAAGAAAAGCCAATAATATTTCTACAGAAAGAAATAAAATCGAGCACTTTCTTAAATCTCTTGCCTTGAGTCTTAAGGAAAATGTTGAAAATCCAAAAGCTGCTCATGCATACTTTTATACTTTTACTAGAAAATTCCAAGCATTTTGATCAAGCTTTAAATGTACTTGATTTTGAAGAAACTTTTTTCAAGTTTTCGTACTTAAGTGTGCTTTAATATGTTCGATAACAAAAATTAGACTCCTTTAAAATAATTTAACAAGGCTTTAAGGTGCACACAAATCAAATACAAGATAACTTGTATTTGCTCTTAAGACAATATGATACGAAAGTCCAAATAAAACAATATTTTTTTTCCACTTAGAGTTTTAATGTGCTTTCACAGCATGCTTGTCAAATTTTAAGATAAAAGCTTGCTTTTATATATTCCATTAGAGTGAACGGGTTTGCCTAAAAGCGCTTTTAAAGCAGCTTTAAATTCAATTGAACAAGAGCAATTGAGTTCGCACTCACTTAAAGCTCACTTAAAGCTCATCCACAGCTTTGATCTAGCTTTAAAGCCCATTAAACCCGGCTGCATTTAATCACTTTTTGAAATTACACCTCATGTCAACATGACTGCAAAATGACAGCTGTTTTAAGTGTTGGAAAGCATATGAAAGTAAAATAAAATGATATCTAGTAAATAATATAAAGTAAAGCTGTGGCGAGGCACAACATTGTATTAAATCCATTTAAAAAGTGGGCGAAATCAATTGATTACATTATCTCATAGCTGGCTAAGTGTTGCCACAGGCCATGAGTAATTTCTGTTTTATGTTAGGCAACACTGGCTTTTCTTGCTCTACCATTTAACTCAATTTGAGCAAGCGTGTGAAGTGTCTGCTGCTTAAAGACGTTAGCTTGAGCCCGTTTGCAACACGTACAACAACTTTGTAGCTCTAGAGACCAGACCAGAACGCAGAATATCCTATTAGCCATATCTCTGTCTATCCCGGCCCAGCACCCGCTGTTCTGTCTCTAAGTTTAAGTCGAGTTTGTTGTGTAATGTGTTAATTTTAATTTGCATTCAAGTCTTGTACGACGCTCGTTTGTTGTGGTTGTCGTTGTTTTTGCTTATTTGCGTTGTTCATTTGATTGAATTATGTAATTGTTGTCTAATTGTTAAGCACACACACACGCACACAGACGCACCCACGCACGCACGCACACGTCTACACAGCCATACAATGTCTAATGACTCCAATGAGACCCACCCGCCCGCACGTAACAGAGCCCTCCCCACCCCCAAAACCACCAAACCACTAAGACCCAACACATTGCTTTGTGTAACCCAATGTGTGCGTGCCTGTGTGTGTGCAAGTGTGTGTGTGCAAGTGTGTGCGCGTGTGTGTGAGTGTACTGCATGACACTGTCAGTGACAACACACTAATCGTTTGCCCTTTGCCCGTTTATCCTGCTACTCCTGCTGCTGTCGTCGTCGTCGCCGTCGTCGTCCTTCTGCAGGTATCAGCGGCAGCAGCGTCGGGAGGGCCTGCTGCCCAATGCGGACAATCTGACCTTTTCGCCGTCGCGGATCAAGTGCCACCATCCGAACTGCCCCAAGTACAGTAGTCGCAAGCCGCCAAGCATACAGGATCAGATGATTACCGTTATGGTGCCGCTCAACTCCAACAACAACAACAATAGCCACAACAACAGCAACAACAACAGCAGCAGCAACAATGGCAGCGGCGGTGGAGTCGGCAGTGGAGGCGGCAATCATCATAGCCACAATCACACCACCGTGGCACTGGTTAACGGCATCAACGGCAGCACCGCCAGCGTCTCCATGACCCAGCAACAGCAGCTGATAGCGCCCAGTGCTGGTGCAGCTGGCGGAGCTGGCGGTGCAACGACCCAGGCGCAGCTGTCGTCGTCGGACAACACGGAACAGTCGCTGGGCGAGGGCAGCGCGGGTGGTTCGGGTGTGGCTCGTCGCAGCTCCTCGCTGAGGAAGCCCACCGCCCACCATAGCCAGAGCATACAGCTCAAGCCGGAGATGGCTGGCGGCGAGCAGAAGACAATTCTGCTCAAGCTGCCGCAACAGGTCATCGACTCGGAGCAATTGATCGTAAGTAGCAGTTAGAAGAAGCTGAAGACGATTAAGTGCCAAATCCAAGCTGTCCAAAAATAAACGATATGCACAAGCCAAATTTGTAGGCCACAAAATTCGATATGCCATGAGAAACCAAATACGATACGATATACAAAACATGATGTGACATACTAATACGATACACAATTTAAACTAAATCAAATACGATACACGATTATGATCAGTTGAATGTGACATACAAACACACGATCTAGCATACGATACGGCCAGACAATATACTACATACAATCAACCGATTCTAATCCCATATACGTTACACGAAATTTAATTTACCAAATACGATATGTACTCGACACGATTAATTATATTTCACATACCATATACGATATACCGCACGAAATACACCAAATATGATATACCATTAACGACATACCTCGACACGGTATTCGATAAGGCTTCTACCGACATTCACCACATACTTTATTACGCATATGATATAAACAGTATACGATATTCGATATACCATTATCAATATACCAAACACATTATGACATTTATGATATTATTCGCATTTACAATATTCAATAAAAACTGCTGTATCATCTACGACAGAGCGTATAACACATACGATATACCATGTACGACATACCACTTACGATATATCACATACGATATACCACATTCTGTATACCACATACGATACAAAACATAAGATATACAGTGTACGATATACCACAGACGATATGCCATGTACGATATACCACATACGATATACTAAGCACGGTATGCCACATACGATATACCCCGTACGACAATACCACAGACGATACACCATTAATGACATACGATATACCCTGTACGACATGCCACATACGATATTCGATAAATTCAATCCAAAAACCAACCCAACCGCAGCGAAGCGTTTCGTTCCGCTTCGATAAAAATTGCAAAAATATATTATCTCCACAAACAGACAGCCAATGTAATAATACCAGCTCCAATAATACTTTTGACAATCCACTAACTAACTTTAAAATGCCGCTAATAATGATCTTTCATATTTGTCATGAACGTTGCACAACTTGTAGCTGCAGTTGGGAAATTTAGGCAAGGTATTGCAATCTATCACAACTTAAATCTATAAATCCATAAAAGAAATATGAAGCGGGAGAGAAAGAAAGAACTTCGGCCAACCGAAGCAACCCAAGCAGATATATGGAATCGGGCAAATGAATTTAAACATGTTTATATTATTTCGTTTCAATTCATTTATCAAAATCAATTGGCTAACTAAAACGAAGAGGTTCAGCCACAAATCCAATCGAAATATATCCAAGCTAATCATACGCAGATAAAATGTTAAAAAGTAACACCCGTATATTAAACTATATATATTCTGCCAGGGGTATAAAGATATTATTTTTGACACGTCTCTGATCCAGGCAATGCAATTATTAAACAATAAAACCGAATATATGTATAAACAACCCCCTTCCGGCCCCCATGTCCATTGTTCTAATAGCCCCATTGTTGGAATGCCAATTAATTATTCAATTATTTGTTTCATTTCATTGCATATGTAAATAGCAATCGAGACTCGGTTAATTCGACTATTCTCCCGCTTGCCAACGAGATGGCAAAAAGATACAACTACAATAATGGGGGTCAAAGAGCGCAATTCCATAATATGCCTATGCATATTAGATACAATTAGCTGATACAAATTCAGAGCGCACCTTTTGTTCTGTATAATAGAACTTTTGGGCAGATTAACCGGACCTGTTTCTGCTATAATCCCACGAGACTCGATTAATACCTATCGTAATACACTAAATATTCTAAGTAGCTGGATAGGCCCCATTTTCCTATCGTGTTTCCATGTTTTTATGTAAATAGCAAAAACGATTTTCAAAACGAACCGTTTTCTATTATTAGCATAAGATAATTATATGAGATCAGATCTAGAAGAGACTTTATTAAAAATCGAACTTTAAGATAATGGAAATTTATCTAAGATATTGGAGATATTTAAATAATATCAAGTCTTCTTGTAGTTCTTTGTTTGCTTTTATTTATATGTATTTATGTTAACAATATCGCATGCCTTTGTTTATTTTAATACTGTATTTAGAAACCAGTGTTGATTAAGTCCTTGTGACACCAAAAAGAGCCAAGAGCAACAAAGTAACAAAAAGTTCAAACTAAAAATTGCTTTAAAATATTATCACGAGATCTAAAAAGAACGAACAATTTTCTAAAAAGAATATTTTGAACAATTTTTGTTTTTTTCATATTTAACTCCTTGAGAATGCTAGAACAAAATTTGAAAAATCTCTTTGTGCTCTTGCCATTGAAAGTCCTAAATATCTGTCAGCGACCAGTGTCCACTGTACAAAGCACCCATAGCTAATGTTTTCGAGTTATTTCAATTCTGAAATTAGATTAATTTGCAACTTTTTTCATTAAATATGGCAATAATTTGATCCAGCTAATGCTTGTTTTCCATTCCACCCGGACTCCCTCTCTCTCTCTCTCTATCCCCCAATCTCTCTTTGTTTCTCTCTCACTCTGCGTGTGCCTCTCTAGAGCCATCCGTGCACCTCGGGTTTTCTCAGTCCGCCCAGCTCGGCCAGCCGCCGGCCCTCGGTGATGTTCAATGAATACGTGCTGCTGCATACGCCGCCGGCGCTCAGCGGCGAACCGACGAGCAGTGGCGCCGCCGCCGCCGGTGGCGCTGCTGCTGCTGCCACAGCAACAGCAACAGCTACGGCAACAACATCAGCAGCAGCAGCAGCAGCGGCAGCGGCAACAACAGCGATTGCCACAGCCAGCAATGGCAATGGCAGCGGCAGCTGCAGCATCCAAGTTGCGGCCAACATGGAGAAGAGCAACATACACTCCACGGAGAAGATGACGCAGGCGGGCGATGGCATCTGGCAGGTGAGTAGCCAAGTAGAAGAGGAGGAGAATTTAACGAGCCTGTTCGCCTGTTGTCCGTTTAAACGCAGGTGAATCTACCGCAGACAATCGGCACCATTGCCAATCCCTACGCAGATTGCTCTGAACTGGGTATACACGACGCGATGACTTGTCAAGAGCTGTTAGCATTCTCTGTGGCCTTTTCAGCGGCATTGCCTACGGGTCAAAGCACGCTCGAATCATTTTACTCGTCGCTGGCCCGCTGCGATCCCCACACCGCCGAGGCGCTCAATAAGGTGCAGCAGAAGCGCGCCACAGCCGCAACGACAAGCGCTGCTGCAGCAGCTGCAACAGCTGCAGCTGCTCCTGGCGATACCCTCGATGCCGCCGAGCTGCCGGCCGTGCCAGCTACTATGAGCGTTGAGCTGGCGGCCGTCTCGGCGGCTGTGCCGCTGCCCATGCCCATGCCCATGCCCGAGCCCGTGCCCGTGCCGCATGCTGAGGCGCAGCTGCAGAGCCGACGCAAAGCGCAGCATTTGCCGCACAACAACAACAACAAGAACAAGAACAACAAGAACAACAACAATACCGGCGGCCACAGCCGCAGCCATGGCCAACGCAGCCATGGCCATGGTCATGGCCATGGTCATGGCCATTTGTCGCGCAGCCACGCCCCCACCGGCAACTATATGGAAGATTATGCGTGCTGCTACGATCTCTACCAGAAACGCGCTCTCCCCCCTCGACGAGCGACAGCGTCCGCGCTCGGGCGGCCTGCGCCTGATCATCGCCGTCTATCGCTGCCTGATGCGCGTCTGCAGCTGGATACGGCGGTACATCAAGCGTCTGGTGGAGCACAAGTACTTCCAGCAGGGCATACTGCTGGCCATACTGATCAATACGCTATCGATGGGCATCGAGTATCACAATCAGCCCGAGGAGCTAACGGCCATTGTGGAGACCAGCAATGTTGTCTTCTCCGGCATCTTTGCCGTCGAAATGCTGCTCAAGGTGATTGCCGAGGGACCCTTTCGCTACATAGCCAATGGCTTTAATGTCTTTGATGGCATCATTGTCATACTCAGGTGAGACGCGCCGCCCATTCCCAGCATACATATATCCCATTCTGACTTCTCTCTCTCTCTCTCTCTCTCTCTCTTTCTGTTTGCCTTGCCAGCGCCATTGAGATTTGCCAAACATTTGCGGGCAATGGCACGGGCGGCGGCGGTTCAGGTTTGTCCGTGCTGCGCACCTTTCGCCTGCTCCGCATCCTCAAGCTGGTCAGGTTTATGCCAAATCTGAGACGTCAATTATTTGTCATGCTGCGCACCATGGACAATGTCGCCGTCTTTTTCTCCCTGCTCGTGCTCTTTATATTCATATTCAGGTGAGTTCCACTGTTGCCACACGGCACAATAACACGCACACTCACACACACACACGCACACACACACACACGCACACACACACACGCACACACACTCGCACATATATATGTATGTGTACTAACAAGAACAAGTGCCTGGAGGCAGACGCCTGCCAAGGACACGCCCCTCCACCTCATGACTCTTAACAAAAACTAACCTGGAAATGAAAGATGTCATCTATATAATACCAAAAAAAAATAAAAGAAAGAAAGAAAAAAGAAAACAGAGTCTGGTGAAAACGCTGGCAAGAAAGGAAATTGAAAGCACAAATGAAAATAAATTATTGAAAAAAAAGAAGAGCAAAAATAAGTCTTAAAAAAGTCTTCAAGTTGCATACTTTAAGTGTAATAATATTTCGTCAAAGATTTTTAAGAAACTTTAAATTTGAAGGGAAAAACATAAAGTGAGCTTAAAAATATTAACAAAAATTTGTTATATTGCGATATTTAAATTAAATTTTGCGTGGAGATTCAATTAATACCTATTGATGGATGAGGCATATATCTAAGAATATCTGTTATATTCTTTTAAACCTTTAATCATTTTTATACAATTTTCTTTTGAACATATCGTTTGATATTTCCCCTATCCAACTTGCCAGCTTTTGCATGTAGCCAGAACTAAGCACTGCGATAAACCATTTAACACAAGAGAATCGCAAATGCTGAATCGAACTCAAAGCGACCCACAAAACCAGGTGACCGACCCGCTGAGTCGGTGAACCAGCAATTCACCAAAACAATCATCAGTTGAGTGTGTTTGTTAGCCCTTAGCAGTCGTTCACGACCCACGACTAACATTAAACAGCTCTTAGAGCTCCGATAATACGTATGTCTAGTAACTATCCATAAATACATATAGTTGCGTACCAATCATAATTTACACACTCTACGCTAGCTACTTAATCCCAATTAACAAAAAAGAAAAGAACAACAAACAGAAATACACAGATACTCGCCACATAGAGAACAGATCGTTCACACACACACACACACACTCACACACACATACACATTTGCGCTTGCATCAGAGCATATATCTATACGTATAGCTCTATGTTTTGCACAGATGTGTTTCTGCTCTATCTCTGTCTCGCTCTCTTTCTGTCACTCACTCGCTCTCTCTCTCTCTCGTTTCATACACAATAACACGCGCTCTCTCATCTACAACACATTCTCTACCGCTCTCTCTCTCTCTCTCGCTCTTTCGTCTACTTTTCCTGCGTCATGCTACACGATACACTCGCCCCCAACCGAACCAAAAGTAATATTTACAATACCCTGTACTCTATTTTATGCTCTAATACAAAATTTAAACTATTAAAAAAATATGTACCCTGCGCAACATTTGAGTAAACGATTGCGTAAGACTCACTCTCTCTCTCTCTCATTCTCTCTATTTCTCTCTCTCTCTGTCTTTCACTCACATACTATTTAACTGTCTCTGCCTCTCGTTTAACTTAAATGTATTCATTATCTTGAATCGTAGTTAGAATTTAACAGTCAAAATCTAAATCGTACGTCCAAGTTGAACCAGCTTAGTTACTCTTTCCAACCCTCTCTCTCTCTCTCTCTCTCTCATTCTGTCTGTCTTTATCTTACACAATTCGTTGCTGCCGTAAGTTGTCTTACACTCGCTCGCCCACTCTGCATTCCAAATACACTCAATACACACACACGTAAATGGCTTCGAGTGATTGTCTTCTACTTTGCCTCTCTATCTCTCTCTCTCTTTCTCCCTCTCTCGCTCTCTCGCCTACACACACAAATTGGAAATCGATTTTGAGCATCGACCAAGAGTCGTTGCATATCTTAAGGCTACCTCTCGCACACGATGTGCGCTCTTTAGCTCGTACCTTTCTTAACTTTCCTTTTTTTAACTAACTCGTTACTCGTCACTCGCCACTCGCTACTTGTCACTCGCCGCTCCATTCACGAGCCCCGAAATATACGCATTTGGTGTGCGATCTTAACTCTTTTTAAAGCTCGTTTATTTATTTTTTACTTACTCTTCACTACTCGCTACTCGCTACACGCTCCAAAAGTCTCGTTACAATTCATTTTCCAATTAACTTGGTTTGCTTTAATTTAACACAGACAACAGCCAGATAACAATAACATACAACAATTAGCTAGTTAAAGGCTTCGAAAGCTTCATTCAATTAAATTAACTAAATGTGTGTATTAGCTTTTAGCGTTTACCAACACTAAACTTGAAACAAACAAGCCACAAACACAAGCAAAGCTCGAAATTTCACAAACACTTTTGAACTTTAAAGCTCAGCCCACGCTTTTATTTTGTTAAATCACAACATGGATTACCCAACACTAGACATGCACCACAAATCTTTAGTTAGTAAAACAGAATCCGGAGACAACCACAACGAGAACCACCGAAACAGCGAACACTAGATCTAAAGACAACAACAACAGCAACAAAAAGTATATTGAAACTAAAAGTAAAAGTACTTTAAAGTCGTGTACGCTTATTGTGTAGTTGCAGTCGCTGCAGTTTGATAATCGTATTTACCATATACAAATTATATATCATAATATATATATACTTTATATATCTAATAATAACTACTCGTAACCAATATACTACATTCTCTTACTCGTACCACATGCTTTCTTTCTATATCTACTATTAATATTCGATTTTTTAAAAATACATCTTTACATATTACATAAAATGATCTTGATTTCGCAAAATACCAACAACCAAAAAAAAAATACTAAATACTTAAAATTTAAAATACAAAAAAAAGAAAATCGAACATTTTTACCAAAGTTTAGTTTAGCTTAGTTGCTCTGTTCTTGAACTAAAAGTCGTATACGTTTGTGTAGTTAGAAAACAAAAACAAAAAAAATAAAAAAATTTAAAACCAATCGAAAAAATAATACTATTTAAACAAGCACAGTCAGACAACAATATACAAAATACAAATGACATAGACCACCACGTGCCACAACTCCAATGAAAACAATGCAAACACAGAAAAGTCTAGCCTTGAGACCCAGACTTTCAGCCCAACGTCATGTACTCTAACAAATAACTTAAACAAACGCCTAAACTAAATGCCCACCAAAATAATAATAATACTATGATAAAAAAAAATACTAATACACCAGCGAATAATACAAATATTTTCTACAACTCCATTTTAGGCTTCAGCTTTAACTTTTCAGCCTTTACGCCCTTGGGCAATGTTCTTTTCTGTTTCACTTTTCGGTTCGGTTGTCCGATCGCGTGCGTCTGTATGGGTGAGCTTTCGAAAGCTCTCGCCTGCCCAGCACTACAGCTGGCCTTTAAAGCAGCTTTCGTTTCTGTACGTGAGCCGTGTCTGTGTGAAAGCTCACCAAATTTCAATTCGATTCCATTTTGAGTTAATGCAAGAATTCGAAAACTCTTTTCGTAGTGTTTTAAACATATTTTTTCAATTATCGCTCGCTTGCTGCTCACTTACAGTCACATACTTTCTCTCTCTCTCTCTCTCTCTCTCTGCTCTCTTTCTTCCTTAACTTTCTCTTTATCTCTCTCTTTTATCTCTCTCTCTCTTGATCTATTTCTCTCTAAAACCACACAATTGCTATACTATTAAATATTTATACTAAAAATGACTTTTAATCCAAATTAAACTAAACAAAATTGTATGCTAAAAATACACAACAAAAAACCCCAAACCAAAAAAACACAAAAAAAAAATAAATATTAATAATAATACATAATAAAAAAAAAAAAAAAATTTACAAGAATATTATATTATCGAAATATATATATATAAATGTATATCATATTATACTATATCAACAAATACCAAACCATCACTTTAGTATACTCGGCATGAATCTGTTCGGATGTAAATTCTGCGAGAAAATTAACGGAGAGAAGATTTGCGATCGTAAGAATTTCGACAGCCTGCTTTGGGCGCTCGTCACAGTGTTTCAGGTAGACCTATTGCTATCAGCATTTAAATCCATATATATATATATTTATATATACCACATATGTATATATTTATATAATAAATACCAATAAATACCACTATACGAATATGCTTAAATATATATATATATATACCACCTAAACTTATGCCAAAATGTAATCTATCGATAACTAACACTAAATGTTCAAAAACAAACCAAAAAGAGAATATTCTTAAAATACCAAATTGTAAGCATTTTGTTTTTCACTTAATTTTTGTGGCTTATGTTGAACATTTTTTGTTATATCGTTTGTTTGTTTGTTTGTTTGTTTGTGCGTTGACGACAATTCAACAATGTGCTAGGCTTGCCATAACCGATAACCGATAACCGATAACAATACCGATAACGATAACTTTTATTATAATTGTTGTGCTCTCTTTTGTGTTCCCAAACGCTTTCTTTCTCTCTCTCTCTCTGTCTCTCACGCTATTTGTCAATCTGTCTAACTGTCTGTCTGTGCTCTCAGTTCGTGTTCGTGTGTATATGCGTGCGTGTGTGTGTGTGTGTGTGTGTGTGTGTGTGTGTGTGTTTCAATTCAAATGTGACCCACAAAACGCCTGCAAAATGGAGAAATTTTCTGTTTTATTTTTGCCCTACTTTGCTTCCGCTTTTTCTTTTGTGTGTTTTCATTTCGATAGATTTATCGATTGCTCACGCGCTCGCCCTAATTTGTGGTGTGTAGTCACTTCGGTGTGGTGTTTATTTCATTGTGTTCTATTTCCATTTCGTTCCGTTACAACTCGTTGCAATGCCTGCTCGCCTGTTGACAATTAAATTGAAGCAACGAGTCCTAACAATATCGCATGCGAGTTATCCGTTGAGTTTCGTAGCAAGCAGCGCGCATACGCATGCAGTTCTTTTTTTTTTCATTTACTTATTTTGTTGATAGTTCAGCCTTAAAGCGATTAGCTAGTTTATAAGGCAGATATGTATATGCATACATTGCACAGGTAAGCATTTCAGTATGAAGAATCGCCTGCCCTAGCAATTGACTCAATCGATATTTCTTAATTTGCTTTTGGCTTGCTATCGATCAACGTGTTATCGACTCTGTGCATAGCACTCCCTGCCTGCTCTAGACACTCGCTGAACTCTTTACTCGATATACTTTTTACTCGTACTCGTTTGTTTGTTTTTATCGAATGTCACTCGTCGTTTGCCTCTTGTCACACAACTGCACATGAACACACACAGACACACACACATTTGTACACTATTTTTTTCTCTCTCTCTCACTCTCACTATCTCTCTCTCTCTCTCTCTGTCTATGTTTCTTACGATTTATTGTGCATACTATTCTCTATTCTCTAAGTATATGTCCTTTTCTATGTATGTATATATGGTACCTTTGTCTGCTATACTAGACTCTAAGTTGTATTCCCCCCTTCCCCCCAGCCACAACCCCAGCCACAACCCCAACCACCCCCCCCCCCCTACTCAGACAGACCAAAAATTTAAACACTCTAACACGCATACCAAACTCTTAACTCTAACTGTAAACTATGCCCTCTGAAACTTCAAACCACACACATACACACACACACACACAACCATATCACATAGATACATATATACATATTAGTACAGTCTCTAGAGTTTGTCAGTTCATGTTTGAGGTTCCCAAACAAAAACAAAATACCAAAAATACCAAAAATTAACAACCAAATATTTATGCAAAAAGAAAAAAAAAAACTCTGTAAAATACAATCGTTTTTTTTGCTCTGCTCAACTTTTGCTTAATAGAAATAAAAGACACACGCATACACACACACACACACACACACTAACATACATTCAAAGTATGCCAGTTCTATCCACTCTGTACAGAAAAAATGATACCCAAATCCCACAAAGATCCATGTTTCTTATAAACTTGGGCCCGACAGCAACAACAACAACAACAACAACAATCAACACTGAACAAAATACTCATGAAATTTGAAAATAAAAAAATCTTTATTCTTATTGATACGTATAAATATAACAGAACTGTCTCTATATACGATATATGTATATATTTATATATATACGAGAACAACAGACAAAAAAAATATATATACACATGCCAAAGCTTAAATACCCACACACACACACATTTACACACATATATATATATATATACCATTTTATATAAAAAGCAAGAAATCAAGAAAAAAAATCGAAGGGACTTTAGCTCCTCTTCGTGTACTACTTAATCTAACCTATACTCGTTTATATACTCATTATCGATTCGCAACTACATATACTACCTGCATATATATATACATACATATATATATATGTATATGTATATATATATGTATGTATGCTACGTACACATCTCTAACTATATATATGATATATATATAAAACATATATACGTATAAACCTACAGCATACTCGGCATGTATCTGTTTGGCGGTAAGTTTTGTAAATTTTTGGACGAATCCGGACTCGAACGCGAATGCACGTGTCCCGAAATAATCAGCCGACATCCGCAATGTGAATGCGATCGCAAACACTTCAACAACATTTTGTGGGCGACTGTCACAGTTTTTCAAGTAAGAACCAGCAACAAATCAAAACCAAAAACATCCATTAAGTACTATACAGAATATATACATATATATAGCTATCAAATTATACCTATACCACTCGTATACCCATTTATCTATCCACCTTCCAAGAACAGCAAACGTTTTAAGCAAAAACTAGCTAAAGAAAAACTACTTATATATATTTATATTTAAATTTATATTAATATTCATATTTATCTATATCCAAATCGTGCAGCTCTTCCAAGTTTATCTAGTTTTTTGTTTCGCTTACATTTCGTTCAAATAAACCCGTTTAGTTATAGTTTAGTTTATCCTATACACACATATATATATGCATATATATATATGCTATACAAAACTTTACTCGTTTTTCTAGCGATTCATTTAGTTGTTGCCTCGAACAAGTTGCTTCAGTTCTTGAGTTTTACTTCTTTCGTAACTTTTTGCTTAGTTTCGAATACTTTTTCAATCAGAAAGTAGTTTTAGCTAACTTTACATACACCCACTTGAACACACACAGTTATACACAGATGCACACAAATACGCACAGCCACAAATGCGCTTCAATAAAAAACATTTGGCCTTCCATAAGTATTCAACTCTTTTGGGTCAGCTTTAAAAATTGTCTTATCTTTCAGAGTTTGCTAATCATTTTTTAGATGAACTTTATGTGAGAGTACATTTTAAAGAGTACTCTTAAAAAATCTCATTTTCATTTTATGCCACTTTTTAGCAGTATTTATGAGCTGTTCCAAAAGAAAACAATAAATTATTGCATAAAATAATAATTTAGTTTTTAAATTTTTATGACTTTTTTTAAAGGAGTTCTTGTGTGAAAAGTACTCATAATTTTACTCAACAGCAATGATTTCGTATTTTTCAGTATTTCATTACCAGATCAAAGAAAACCTATTGAATATTTCAATAAATCTTTTCAATATTCCAAAAATGAATAACACCAAAATGCATTGATAAAAATGCACAACACTAGAAAGAGTACTCGAAAAGTACTCATAATAAACCAATGCACATTCTTGAGTATTTCAACAGCAGACCCAAACGTATATGAATTAGGCAATGCTCATAACTTAAACAAAAATTAGTTTTAATTAGAAAGAGAAATAAACGATTTCGAATTGCATTAAGAAGAGTTCCTATTGGGACTACTCGAAATGTACTCACAATTATGCATATGTACTTCTTGAGTATTTTTATTTTCAAGCAAACTTAGTCCGGTATTTGTCCACACTGTTTGGTGCAACAACCCAAGCAAACTCTCTCGCCCACACACACACACGCACAAACACTCACACACACACACACACACATATTAGAAAGTCGCTCTCTACGAAAGCGTCTCTTCCGTTTACTCCAACAATTACTCTGACAACGTCGTCTTTTTCTCTCCCTCTCTTTTGGTTTTCTTTCTACCATTTTCTTTCTCTCTTACTCTCTACATATGTTTCTCTCTCTCTCAGTCTTACAATTACAAGCACACTTTCACACACACACAGTACTCATCTGTAACATATGCCAATCTTTTCAGCTGCTAAGTTTTTTTGAATGCATGATTTCGCCTCAATTGAAAAACTCTTTTGTTTCGTTCCATTTCCCTTTGGTCTTTGCTTTTCACGTTCAGTCCAATTATGCGCTAAAATACCGTTACGTTTGTTCTATATAATCTCACACAGCCTTACATCTACATATACATATACATATATATAAATATATGTATGTATATCTATGCGATACTATATATATAAGTTCTATATATAAGATTCATATGTTTGGGCCATATAAACGCCTGGTGTTTACGTTATTTGGAACGCGCTTCGTTCTTCTGTTTTGCTTCGTTTTTTTGGCTTGTTTTCACGTTCCACCAATCCTTCAAGCTGCTGCTGCTTACTTCTTCTTCTTCTTCTGCCTCAATGTTACTTTTCTTTTTTAATTTTTTTTTCTTCTAGCTACCAATTCCCATTTGCTTTTTGCTGCTTTTTGCGCTTTGTCAAAAATAAAAAACATCAAAATTATAATAAAAAAAATAACTATATAGTATATAAATTCAAATTGCATATTACTCTTGTACAGTCACGCCCAAAAAAAAAAAAACATGTATATTAAATAAAATACCAAAAAAAAAAAAAAATACTCGTATTATATATGAAACCTTTAGCATCAAATATTTATTGGCACGTCGTCTAAAAAAAAAAAAAAAAAAAATATAAAAAAAATGTTCACTTTAGTATTTAAAAAAATTTGAATTTCTATGCAAGTTTTTTTTTGCGCGCCATGCAGCTTAAACGATTTTTATTTATTAATCCAAGTATTTTCTGGAATTGGAGTTTGTTTTTTGAGTTGAAAATGTTTTCGAGTGCTTTGCGTTGTTTTTTTTTAAGCGTTGTTTTAACCACACCACGAATTACGAGTATTCCTTGTGCTTAGATTCGTTTTTTATCTGGTTCCCTTGCGGTGCGTGTCTTTGATCTTAAGTTCCTTACTGTTTCGTTTGCCAATTGCTTTAACTGCGCTTTGGCAAGGTCTATGTTTTCGTGTTCCACTTAATATATACATATGTTGAATGTGCTTTTAATATTGAAGAATATACGAACAATAATAATAATATATATTAGGCATAGTTTGTTAAAATGATATCAGGGCATTGCGTTGTATTTGGATCGTGCTTAGAAGAGGCTCAATTTCAAATAAGAAGCATAAATTAATATTTAATTTGATTAAAAAAAAGTAAAAGTTAATTTTTTAACATCTTTTGAGATAATTTCTGGACAAATATTAAAAAAAAAACTTTAACTATTTGTCTATTATTTTTTTTATAAATTTCTTCTTAAACATTTTTTACTCTTTGAACTCTAGGAAAAGGAAAGTTTTTTCAATAGCTTTCGTGACAGATTTCGGACAAAAACAAAAAAAGGAAAAAAAATTGTTACTACTCTTAATTTATTATATTATATATTATTTAAAGAAATTAGGAGTATTTTAGAAGCTTATCCAAATATAATTTATACATTTACCTTTATATATTTGATTTGATAAAGTTTATTTTCAAAAGTCGTCTGCTTTGCTAAATATTTGAAGAACTCAAAGAAAAAACATTAACTCAAAGGGGGGCCCAGTTAGGGATTTTTCCAATAGATCTATATTATATTTTGTGTTTCGCCTGAATTCGTACGTTTAACTCCTAAGTTCTTAAGCAAAAGTTACTGAAAAGTAAAACCTAACAAGTTAGGCTAAAAAAGAGAAATACAAAAAGCAGCCTATTGAATAAAAGCTATATACAAACATATCATATATAATATACCTATGTATACGTTAACATATATATTGAATTTAATAATACTTATATAATACTCCAATAATAATATCTAACACTTTGGCGTTTTGCTTCTCCAACATGATGTGTTCTATTTTGTGCTCTCTCGTTTTTTCTTACATTTCTTTTTATCCCACACAAATGTTTATGGTATTTTTATCTTTTTTTTTACCGCTTCTTTCGATATACCAATATTATGCATATATACCAAAAATATATACATATATATATATATATCCAATATATATACAATATACAAACGTAAACTGCACCACGTTTTGCCGCCCGCAACCACCTGCAACTGCAACCAACCAAATAAACCAAATCAACCAAAAAAAAAAAAAATTTCGAAAAAAAAAAATAATCATCAAAACCAACAACAACTGATACAACAACATCTACAACAACCATCGTTAAAACAACAACAACAACAACAACAAACAACAACAAAAATGTTTCTAGATTCTGACGCAAGAGGATTGGAACGTGGTTCTATTCAATGGCATGGAAAAGACAAGTCATTGGGCCGCATTGTACTTTGTGGCTCTAATGACGTTCGGCAATTATGTGCTATTTAATTTATTGGTGGCCATTTTGGTTGAGGGATTCAGTTCAGAGGTAGAGTTTTGCCAACATCCACGAAACGAAATTAACCTTCAAAGAAATACCAAAATAATACAAAGTCTAATTGACATTTTTGGCCAGCCTGGGCATCGTTTTACTTCAACTCAATTTAACAAAAAAAAAAATCAGTTGAAACGTTGCCCAGGCCAAGCTGATCGATATGCGTTTTGATTGGCCTTAAAAGAGTCCACAAACAATATTTCAATTGTCGCCCGATTATAAGAGTTACTTGAAAAATCCAAAGACAAATCATTTAATACGATAAATTATCGATAACATATCGACAAGTTATCGTTAAGTGATGCTTGCAAACTTCACTCAATAATTCAGTCTAAGTCAAGATTTCCAAAATTTATTAAAATCAAATCGATTCGATCTTATTCGATAAACAATTGATATGCGACAATTGAAACATTGTATTCTGGCAGCGATAGCAGCTCGCGTGACTCGACAAACATCGATAGCGTTGACGAGAAAGTCTAATTTTGAAATTTTGATTCCCTCAGCGAAATGAACGTCGCGAGCGCGAACAACGCGAATTGGTTAAGAAACTGCGCGAAGAGACATTGGCCGAAAATTATAGCGATGGTATGTACGATGAATCACGCAGCGAAGCAGATTCATCGACCACTAACGATAGTTACTACGAGGTACGCAATCGCTGGCGCAGCGCCGAGGATGTGCGCAAGGTAAGTGCAAGAAAGAGAAAGCGAATGCTATACAATGACTGTAAGAGAGAGAGCGAGTGAAAGCAAAAGCTCAAGCTCGACTCTGTGGCACGCTTGAATGAGTGTCAATATGATTGTGAATGTGAATGTGAATGGGAGTGTGAATATGAGTGCGTGCGTGTGCGCCACAGAGTCTGTCACGGTATGTATCGTAGCCTATCGTCTATCGTCTATCGTTTACGCCTATCGTTATCGCCTATCGTTATCGTCTATCGTCAGCAACTGCAAGACTCCGCCGAGCTCAACATCGAGCCCAAGAGCAACATCCACCGCCAGCGCCTGCTGCAGCCCATCCAAGACTACCAGATCAACGAGATGCCCGCGCAGGGCGCCAGCGCCTCGGGCCTCGGCAACGCAGCCGGCTCCGGGCTGCTCGCATCCGATAAGGAGGCCGGCGGCAAGGCGCACGACGAGGCCAAGCCACGCGGCGGCCTCAAAAAGGTAAGTTCAGTCGCACCTCAAGCACAAGAACAACAACCACAAGAGCAACAACCACAACAAACACAAACACACAACTGCCTCGGCTCGCACCTACAGACATACTCGATTAAGGAACGACGCAGCGAGGCGCCACGCCTAACCAAAATGCGGCTCATACGCGATCCACCGCTCATCACAACAACGGCGGCCACGCCCCAGGACTCACCAAGCACCACCATGGAGCCGGGCATGAGCTTTCGCCAATGGGGCGAAATGGAGGTGAGTTTCAACTAACCAAACACCAATTTTACCTTAATGCCAGTGCATAGTAAAAGTTGTGGATCATTCAAATTTATCGGTGTTAGTTTTCAGTTATAATTGTATACAATTCAGTCAAAACTTTCAGCTACACCAAGTTCTACAAAGACTTTTATAGACAAGTTTTATCACTAATTTCGAACTGTCCTAACTTTGTCGAAAAATGTTCATTTTCTCAAGATTGATTCTGAATTTCCTTTAAAAATAATACCATACTCATGAATACATATATTCTTGAACACCTCAACAAGCTGAGTCATTCTAGTTCTGTCAGTTCGTCCGCGTAGATCGAAAAGTTGAAAAGCTACGTACTTGAAATTTGAAAAATGTTCTCGCCACACATCATACGCACAATGAGTCTATGATTTGTTTTAGCCAACTCCTCCTATTTTCAACATATCGATAAATATCGATTTTCAGATATTTGTTTTTTTGTGTAGATAACTCGAGGATTATTAGAGCTAGGTGCACCAAATTTGGTATATATCTTCTTGTATAGCAAATACAGATGAGTTATATTTATTTTTTTTTTTGGTATTGTACCTTCAATCTTTCCACCAAAAGTGTACAAAACACATTGTAAAGGGTAGAGTTATTTGTGCTTTGGTATATACACACTTTTTCTTGCCATATTTAAGCACTGAAAATTTCATAAAGATCGGACTATAAAGACCAAAGTTAATCAAGAACTCAGTGCTCATAGAGGCTGGGCTGAGAGAAGAAGAAGCGCAGCCGACGTAACGTGCGTGCGTCCGTCAACGCGCGCGCGTTTGTTTGTGCGCGCGTGCATGCGTGCGTGCATTCGCATGTAAATGTAGAAAGTATGGAAGGAAGCGTCGGCTTCGCTGTAGTTAGGGTATATGCTAGTTGGGCACACCCGACTTGAGCACTTCTCTTTCATTTTGACAACCTATTGAACTGTTCATTGTTATTGTGCCCCGCCCACACAGCCAGTGCCTCCATCGCCGTCGCTGCTGAAGCCCCCGAATATTTTCAGCGGAGGTCAGCGCACGCTGGACGAGGGAATACCGGCCATAGATCTCATACCGCCGTCTCCTGTGCTGGCGCACAAGCCGCTCAACATACTCAATGCCAGCCAGCTGCAGGGACATGTCGGTGCTGTTGGTGGTGCTGGTGGTGCAGGTGGTGGTGCAGGTGGTGGTGCTGGTGCCACAGCAACAGCTGCTGGTAGCGGCGGAGCCAGCGCCAGCATATCCAGCGGAAGCAGCAATCAGCTGGGCAGCAGCATGCACAGCGTCATCATCGATGACATCTCTAAGAATTCCAGCACAACGGCAGCTGCCACGCCCATCTATATGACCAGCATATCATCGACGGCGGCCACACTGCAGCCGCCAACGGAGAGTCGCAGCCACAGCCACAGCCACAGCTTGAATCTGTCGGACCTATCGCCGCTGACCGTATCGCTGACGGGGTCGACTAGCTCGCCGATGGGTGGAGCGGGCAGTGCTGCCTCCACGAGCGGCAGCTCGTCCAGCGAGCGTCTGCCGCTGGCGCCGCCCGGCGGCAGCTTCAAGCAGCGCTTCCGACGCTCCAGCTCAAAGAAGCGTCCGACTACGCTGCGACCCGACGACAACATCGGCGCGCCCGACGAGGAGGATAACCAGCTGAACAGCTCGGCCGCCGTTGCCGCTGCTGTTGAGTTCAGGCAGAAGGACTCGAACCGCCTGAGTCCACAGAACTCGATGCGCAGGCTCTCGAATACGCTCAGCATTGGCAGCGGCCCGGGCAGCCGACGCGCCTCCGCCTGCATCTTCAACTCGCAGGTCTATCAGAATCTGAGTCAGCCGCCCAAGCTAAGGCCCGGTGCCGGGCAGCGACGCATGAGCTCCATCGAGCTGGCGTTCAGCAAGACGTCGCATCTGAATCTGCACAATCTGGAGGCGAATCGCAAGTCGCTGTCGTACACAAACTCCAAGATCGACCTGGACAAATGGCAACGATCCTATTTGACGCTCAACGAGCCGGACATGCTGCAACAGTATATGGAGGCGCGCGACAATCGCAAGAACTCCATCAGCCACTACAATCTCAAGAAACGCCTCGAGGAGAAGGAGCTGCAACAGCTACAGCAGCTGCACCAGCAGCAAATGCAACAGCAGCAGCAGCAACCGCAGCTCGACACGCAGTCCCATACGCAGCTATCGCCGCAGCATCTGGCCAAGGAGCTGCAACTGCTGTCGATGCAACAACATTCCATGGTGCCCTGCGGTGGGGGGGAGCACGTCTCAAAGCTGCGGATGATCATACAGCGTCTGACGCCCAAGCAGTTCACTGCCGAGCGTGAGTCCTACTCCATGTACGTCTTTCCGGAGGATAACAGGTATGTCGTCTCGATATGATTCAATAATTCGTCGAAGAGCTTTAAGTGAGCTTTAAGAGCGCTAGAGGCTAGCTTTAAGTAAGCTTTACGTGCATTTTCGGGCAAGATCTGAGTGCGTTTTAGCCAAGCTTTAAGTGAGCTTTAATTTTCTATTGAGTAAGCTTTAAGTGCGATTTATACAAACCTTAAGTGTGCCTATAGTAAGTTTTGAGTGAGCTTTTAAAAGCTTTAAGAGTGTTTTAGGCAATTCTTAAGTGAGCTTTAATTTTCTATTGAGTAAGATTTAGTAAGCCTTAAGTTCGTTTTGGAAGAGGAGAACAGGTATGTCATCTCGATATGATTCAATTATTCGTCGAAGAGCTTTAAGTGAGCTTTAAGGGCGCAAGCTTTAAGTAAGCTTTTAACAAGCTTTACGTGCATTTTAGGCAAGATCTGAGTGCGTTTTAGCCAAGCCTTAAGTGAGCTTTAATTTTCTATTGAGTTAGCTTTAAGTGCGATTTATACAAGCCTTAAGTGAGCTTTAAGTGCGACTAAGACAAGCATAAAGTGAGCTTTTAGCCACAGTTAACTCCGATTTCCGTAAGCTCTTGGTGCGTTTTAGACAAGCCTAAAAGGAGCATTTAGTCACAATTAAGTGAGATCTTTGTAATGCGTTTTAGACGAGAATTCTGTGAGCTTTAACTCAAAATTTAGTACGATGTAGTTAGCTTCAAGTGCGATTTAGACAAGCCTAGAGTGAGCATTAAGTCATAATAGAATGAGATTGCAGTTAGCTTTGAGTGCGTTTTGGGCAAGCCTTAAGTGAGCTTTTTGTAAGCTTTAAGTGCGTTTTTGAAAAACGTTTATACACTTTTGAGTGCAATTTTTGCAACTTCACGATATTTTTCCATTGGCCTCTGCTCTGCTGTCTTTCAACATTATAACATAGAACCTTAACTAACTTTTTGTATTGATTCAATTGTAAACTTTAAGAGCTTTAAGATTTTGTTTATTTTTTTAAATCTTAAACCAGCAACCACAGCAGCATTTGATTGGGTAAAGCAAAGGCAGAGAATTGCTTTAATTTTAGCTATTGAGCTTTAAGGGAGCTTTAATTGTGAGATCAAATAAATAAAACTTGCTAAAGCTCGTTCAACTGAAGCCACTGCGGCTGTTGTCCGAAGTAGTTTATATGTCTTAAGTTTAGGGTAAACAAGACCTTGGCTAAACGAAGCCCTCAAAACACATTTCCTTTTCAATATAACCAGCTACCGAAATTTCTTATTTGATTTGCCAATTTTCCAATTGGCTTTTGTGATAGATTTCCAACCAAATTGACTGCACTCAACTCTGTCGCAGGCACTTTTGCAGTTCGTTTTCGTTTTCGTTTTCGCATTTCATTTTCATTTTGATTTTCGCAACGGAAATGCCGTAATTGAATTTCAACCCAGTTGCAACTCTGCTCGCCAAATACAATTTACTGTTAACTGGTTTGTGTTATTGGTGAACAGGTTCCGGCAGATCTGCTCGTGGTTCGTGAACCAGAAGTGGTTCGACAATGTTGTCCTGCTCTTCATAGCCCTCAACTGCATAACACTCGCCATGGAAAGACCAAACATCCCTCCAAGCAGCACCGAGAGAGTGTTCCTGGCAACGGCCAACTACGTGTTCACAGTCGTCTTCACTATCGAAATGTTCATAAAGGCAAGTGACCGCATATAAAATGCAAATAAAAACGCAACTTTTTCGCTGAGTGTATTGATTGTTTTGTTTTATTTGCAGGTTGTTGCCACGGGCATGTTTTATGGCCCGGATGCATATTTCACATCCGGCTGGAATATAATGGATGGATCTTTGGTTACAATTTCGATAATTGATTTGTTAATGTCATTGATTAGCGAATCGAGCCCGAGGATATTTGGGATTTTAAGGGTAAGTTTGTGGGCTGAACGGCAACAGGCACACAAAACCGCAGCATCAGCCGGCAGCTGCCAATCAGCCAATCGGGCAATCAGGCAATCGGTCGGACATGCCGCATGCCACATGCCACATGCCGCATGCCACATGCCGCATGCAACTGAATACAGCGACCCAACATGTGTGAGCCACTAATTCGACAACTCGAACCACGCACCAATCAAACAAATCAAATCAACTGCGTTTGTGCACGCGGATCCATTTACAAACCGAAAAAAAAAACAGAATGAAAAAATCGCTCGCTCGCTCGCTCGCTTGCTTTCTCCTGCCTTTCTCTCTCTCTCTCTCTCTCTCTCTCTCTCTCTCTCTCTCTTTCTCCTTTCCTTAGCTATCTACAGCTCTGTCAATTGGCCGTCTTTTAACATTGCTATCTGCCTTCATTGAGAAACTAAAACGTCTTTCGCCTTCTCTCATCCAACTCTTTCAATATAACTTTCCGAAATGCTCTCCCTCTCTCTTTCTCTCTCTCTCTCTCTCTCTATATATATATATATATATATATAAATATATATACATTTGTATATTTTTATGGCTATATTGTGTTTGAATCGGGTATTCGAATCTTAACTTAACATAAACCAAACCGATCTGCAGGTAAATTCTCGCCGCCTATATCATTTAATGGCAAAAAAAAAACAAAAAACAAAAATAAATTATTCGTACGTTTTTTTCTCTGTGTGTGTGTAGAGTCCCATTAAAAATGTTGATACCCTACCAAATGTAAATTGTTGGCTCACGCTCATATATTATATATCTGGTTGTATATTATATTACTCAGTAATATTTGCATTCTCTTAACCCTTGTCATGCCTCACCCAGCACATGTTTCAATTTATAAACACACCACAACATAACCTCACATTTTGTATTCTTACGAAATTAAACGCGCCTATCGGATCTGTAAAGTTAAATTCTATATAGACTATGTTTCTATTGAGTTGAAACTCCATTTTCCTGTTCCTGGCGTGTGTTTAAATTGGTTCCGATATATAAATTACCAGCAATAGTTTTTTCAACTTAACCTCACTTAGGACAAGTACAGCTTTGGTTTTATATTAAGCTTACCTTACATAACTGTCTGTCATGCAAGCCCGACCTTACAGCTCCGATCTGGCCATCCTACCCAATCTGAACTATTTACATTAATTATCATTGTTTAAGGCAACCCCGATTCGACCTCGTATTAATCGCTTAGTGCCTACAGAGCCTTTTGCATTCGAGTTGTTCACATAATGCCAGCCCAATGCCAATCGTTCCATCATTTCGATTAACCTTATTCCTATTCACAATTCCACTCGTTCCAATTATTGTTAGCATTATGCATATGCCATACTTCACATTGTTTAATCGTAGTCTCCTGCCATATCGTTTTCCCACTAGTTCCATTCGTTCCCACTCATTATTTCCACATTCCACATTGTGGAGCACAGCATGCACCATTCGTGCCAGTCATTTGTCCCCCTTTTCCCATAGTGTTACTTTCCATTATGTTTCGTTTGGCTTCTTTTCGTAATGGCCACCATTTATTTTGCTCACATTCACATCGTTCTCCATTTGCATAGCCGTTCCAGTTTCCAAAACGTTTCATTTGCATATAATTTCATAAAAGCCCAAGTTCTTGTAGCTGTATTGTAAGTCCGCTGCGCATATTCGCATCAATTTGTTCCATTACCATGCGTTCCCATTTTGGCTTTGCTTCTACCGTTTTTTGTTTCAATGCCAGTCGTTTCCGTTACATGTATCAGTTGCTGTTACCGTTTCAGTTGTTGTTGTCGTTTTTTGTTTTTTGTTTATTGTTTTTTGTTTTCAGTGGGTCAATGATGTTTAATCGGATTTAGATATACGTGATATGGCTGAAGATGGGATTAGACTGATCGCATTTTCCCAATTATTGTTCGCAGGTGTTTCGTCTACTTCGTTCCCTACGGCCGCTGCGTGTGATCAACCGAGCGCCGGGTCTGAAACTAGTCGTTCAAACGCTCTTATCGTCCCTGCGTCCCATTGGGAACATCGTGCTGATCTGTTGCACGTTCTTCATCATCTTTGGCATCCTCGGCGTCCAGCTGTTCAAGGGCACCTTCTTCTACTGCGAGGGCGAGAACATTAAGAACGTGCGAAACGCGGACGAGTGCCGTCGCATACCCGGCAACGTCTGGACGAATCGCAAATACAATTTCGATGACCTGGGCAAGGCGCTGATGTCGCTCTTTGTGCTCAGCTCCCGGGACGGCTGGGTGAACATAATGTATACGGGCCTGGATGCGGTCGGTGTCGACCAACAGCCGATTGTCAACTACAACGAATGGCGTCTACTCTACTTTATAGCATTCATTCTGCTGGTCGGCTTCTTTGTGCTCAACATGTTCGTTGGCGTTGTCGTCGAGAATTTCCATCGCTGTCGCGAGGAGCAGGAGAAGGAGGAGAAAATCCGACGAGCCGCGAAGCGTGCCCTGCAAATGGAAAAGAAGCGAAGGCGAATGCACGAGCCACCCTACTATACGAACTACTCACCGACCCGGATGTTTGTCCACAATGTGGTCACGTCGAAATACTTTGATCTGGCTATCGCCGCCGTAATTGGCCTGAATGTGGTCACCATGGCAATGGAATACTACAAGATGCCGATGGCCCTGCAGTATGCGCTGAAGATCTTTAACTATTTCTTTACGGCCGTCTTCATACTGGAGGCAAACATGAAGCTGGTGGCCCTCGGCTGGCGTTTATATCTGAAGGATCGCTGGAATCAGCTGGACGTGGGCATTGTGCTGCTCTCGATTGTTGGCATTGTGCTCGAGGAGCTGGAAACGAAAATAATACCAATAAATCCAACAATTATCCGGGTGATGCGCGTCCTGCGCATTGCACGCGTCCTCAAGCTACTCAAAATGGCGAAGGGCATACGGGCGCTGTTGGATACGGTGATGCAGGCCCTGCCGCAGGTTGGCAATCTGGGCCTGCTCTTCTTTTTGCTATTCTTCATATTCGCAGCGCTGGGCGTGGAGCTGTTCGGGCGACTCGAGTGCTCCGATGAGATACCCTGCCAGGGACTCGGCGAGCATGCGCACTTCGCCAACTTCGGCATGGCTTTCCTCACATTGTTTCGCGTAGCGACTGGCGACAACTGGAACGGCATCATGAAGGACACGCTGAGGGATAACTGCGATGACGCGGCCGATTGCGTGCGCAATTGCTGCGTCAGCTCGTTTATTGCTCCCATATTCTTTGTGATATTCGTTCTTATGGCGCAATTCGTTTTGGTGAACGTCGTCGTGGCTGTTTTGATGAAACACCTCGAGGAGAGCCACAAGCAAATGGAAGATGAGCTCGATATGGAGGTGGAGCTGGAGCGGGAGCTGGTACGCGAACAGGAGTTCGCACACGAGCAGAAACTGTGCCAGCAGCTGGCGGAGGCGCAGGCCAAGGTAATCGCCCCGCCACGCCCATTGGCAAAAGTTAAATCGCTGCCCAAGAATTTCATCTATAGCACACCGTCGCTGGAGAAGAAGTTCCCCAGCCCCAGTCTAACCGGCAGCTCGGCAACCAATCTCAATCAGACCCAAGCCGGCGCCGGTGCACGTCGTCAGACCGTTCAATATTTCAATCAGCAGCAGCATCAGCAGCAGCAGCAGCAGCAGGCACTTGGCCTGGGCCTCAGTCTGGCCGAGATGGGCGGCGCGCTGACGCCTCAGGCGCTGGGCGCACGGCTGGGCGAGCCCTTCGGCGGCGCTGTGACGGCAGCGGCAACAACCGGCAACGAGCACGGCTTGCAACTGCCGCCACTGGGCCGACGCGGGCGACGCGCCTCTGCCGCCGCCGGCTTCCGCAAGCGCGGCGTGCTGTCCAAGGAGCGCTCACTCGACGAGCAGGCCATCAGGCGACGCAACCTGGAGGCGAAGCGCACCAGCTGCGATTCGCTGCCCTGGGGCGGCGATGCGCTCGACTATCGTCGCGGCACCATATTCGAGAGCCTCGAGTCCGATGGCGGCGGCAACAGTCCCTCCTCCAGCTATGATCTGGACGTGCGTAGCATACGCAGCGCTGAGCTAACGCGTCCGCGTGACCACGATCTGCCGCTGGCTGTTCTCAGTGCGCCCACGCCCACGCCTACAGCCACGCCCTTGGCTATTGTAATGCCGACAACAATATCCACAGCCACAGCCACGCCCACGCCCACGCCCACCGTCACACATCAACAGCGACGTCCCTTCGGCTGGTCGCAGTCCGTGGATCAGAGCTGCCTGCTGGGCGCCGGCGGACGCAGCAGCCTGCTGCTCTCCGTGCCGCGCTCCATGCCGCCGCGCAGCCGCAGCGGCAGCGGCAGCACCAAGCAGCTCTTCAAGCAGCAGGCGCTCGACGAGGACGCCGATCTCGATGAGAATTCGCTGCTGCTGCCGGCAATGCCGCAGCCAGCCGCAGCTGCAACAGCTGCAACAGCTCAGCTCCCCAGCTCCGATGCCCCAACAGCAGGCGGCAAAGGCAAAGGCAACGCCGACGGCGACGCCGACGCCGACGCTGACGCCGACGTCAATAGTGTCGACGGCCCGGCGCTCAGTAAATCCGATTCGGCGGACATTATGCGCATCATCAGCGAGCGGCGGCGCATGGATCAGCGGGATCAGTGCGGCAACGAGGACAGCGACTACAACGAGCTGCTGCTCGTCAAATCGCCGCAGTCCTCAACGGACTAAGCAATCGCGCCCTCTCTTTCTAACATACACAAACACACACACACACACTTTGCTTTCAGGCTGGTTTCGTTCGTTTCACTCGCTGGATTCTAACGAGCTCTTCAACGTTCCAACGTTTCGCTGTGTCTAAAATGCTGAAAATAAAAATACTAAGCCAAAGCGCATTTAATCGATAACGATAAACGATAACAAGCAAGAGCGAAACGAGCCTGTTAGGTCACATAAATATACTTATACATATATATATATATATATATATATATATTTATAAATATATACAGATGTATCTTTGCTCTCTTGCATCAGGCTAGTTTCGTTCGTTTCCATTCGTTTCACTTGCTAAACTGTAACGAGTGTTTCAACGTTCCAACGTTTCGCTGAAAACAAAAATACTAAGCCAAAGCGCATTTAATCGATAACGATAAACGATAACAAGCAAACAGACAAACAAACGAAACGAGCCTGTTACATCTTGAAATATCTCCCTCGCACACAAACACTCGTAACTGTAGCCTGTGCAAAACTTTACGGAATTTTCCAAGTGCTCAGTTTGAAGGAAGCAAAACTAAAGCGTTAGCTCATAGGCGATAATGTTAACGATAACGATAACGATTACGATTACGATAACGATAACATTACTCACTAGCGTTAGGCGTTAACTGTAACTGTAACTGTAACTGTAACTATAACTATAACTGTAACTGTAACTGTAACTATAACTGTAACGATAACTATAATGTTAACCGTAACGATAACGATAACGATAACTACTCATAGAGCGTTCTCAATATGAAATTGTCAACTGTTTTTAGTGCAATCTACGGTTTTCATAAGTTTAGCAAAATCCAAATGGTATCAACAGAAAAATAATTGAAAAAACAAATACTAGAAATATACTAAAAGTCGTTGCTTAGAGTGTTTTCCGTTTCAACCAAAGCAGTAAAACCGAAATACTAAAAATCCATGCTGATTAATGATGATTATATACACAAATATATATATATATATATATATATAAATATATATATATACAAGCGTTATATACACAGTTATACACAAACTATTTAGAGTATATAGAGGCGTATATATATGTATATGGAAATTGTGAACAAAATATATAAAGAAAAAATCATCAACTCTGTGATTAGCTCTTAAAGTTTAAAACATTTATGAACATATATGAATATATAAACATACATAAGTATATATGAAAGGAAGAGAAAACCCTACAATATGCATACACAATATGTATGTATGAACACTGGAGTGTGTATATAGGAGCATCTCATATATACACATGAATGTTGTATGGTATTTTATGTAGTCTAGTCCAAAATGAAAAAAAAAAAAAAACCAAAGCTAACAAATATTGTTGCAGTATTCAGTCTAACAAATACATACACAATGATAAGCAATAGCAATTTTAGCTTGTTAAGATGGTATATTAAATTGAACTTTAAATAAAATACCAAAGAATACCAGACAAATACGAAAAATACCAAATGTTACATACACGCAGAAAATACTAAAAAATACCAAAAATGCATTGTTTATAAAAACGAATTTACATAGGTACTTAACACACTCTCACACACACGCACACACACGCACACACACACACACAGACGCGATGCTCTTTCGGACAATCTTTCGACTCTCAGCGCGCTCTCTTTCTGGCCTTAACCAAGCGCTATCTCTCTCTCTCTCTCTCTCTCACAGCTATCGCTGTCTCGCTCATTTCAACTAAAATGTGCCAAAGGAAACTAACACACACAGACACACACATAAAGTAAGGGTAATTAGCGTATTGTTAAATTTTTGTGTAGTAAAAGTAAACTCAACAAAAAACTTACTTAATCGAAGGCCCCACTAAAAATACTAAAGGCAGAGCAGCAGCAGATGCGACTATCCAAAAGTTTATTTTTTATATACCAAAACGGGCTAACGGGCTAAATACCGCATACTAAATACATAGTTGTTTTTTTTTTGTTTTTTTTTTTTAGTATTAACTGTAGCTATAAATGTAGTCAAACTTTAAATGATAATGTCAGGTGGGCGAAAAGTATATAATATAGTATTAGCCCGCCAATAGTTACGAAGTTCAAAGTTCTAAACACACACGAACAACTTTATGGCGCAGCATTTATAACAAGTAGTAGAAAAATAATAAGTACATATATAAACAAAATACTGTAGCAACTGCTCCCTACAAATAGAGTATAGAGTATAGAGCATAGAGCATAGAGCATAGAGTATATATATCTATATATATATATATATATATGTGTGTGTGTGTATATATATTGTATTTGTGAAACTATCAACGAATTACCATAAAGCTAAGCCCAAAGTCAGCTACGCTCTTTACAAAAAGAAAAACAACAAAAAAGAAGAAGAAGACGAAGACGAAAACTAAATATATGTCGTACAAGTTTAAGAAGAAGCAGAACACAAAACACTGTCAATTTCAAAGAAGAAAAAAAAAACACAAAAAACACAAACAATTGAATAGGAAAACGCATTTTTACACTCTTTGTAGAAGCCATTGGGAAAAATGTAATCGATAGATCGATAAAACCCAAATTTAGATAAACTTTTGAACACAACAATAACGAAAAACAAAAAGAGGAAGAAAATTGCAACAAATCGAACTTAGAAACTCTTAGCCTCTATCGGGCGTTACGAAACAACAACAACAACAAGAACAACAACAAAAACAAGCAACAAATTTAATTATATAATAATTTCATCTGTGCCTTTCTCTACGAATATATATATATATATATATATATATATATGTATGTATATATATATTTAACTCTTTATATATGTACACTATATAGAATCAAATTATGATATATCTACTGAATATTATATATACTAATATATTTCACATGTGCTCTTCTTTACACTCTCGCGCGCGCTCTCTCTCTCTCTCTGTGTCTCTCACTTTCTCACTCTCTCGCTCTCTTTGGTGAAGCTGCAAAAGTATCGAAATCGATATTATGTCAAGTCATTAAGAGTTGCTTCTTGATACTTTAAGCGATTCCGTTAGCATTATCGATCAATTTGCAGCCTAATTAATAACACGAGACACACACACACACGCAACACATAAACACACACACAGTTTACGTAACGTAACGTTTGCAGTAGGCTTAAAAGGGACGGATACAGTGCCCCGCTCAAGCAGTTCAAGCAGTGCAAGAACAACTAAAGGCACGCTCTGTCTCCAGGTCCGGCTCTTACACACTCGCTCTTCCACTCTCGCCTCTCTCTCTCTCTCTCTCTCTCTCTCTCTCTCTCTCTCTCTCTCTCTCTCTCTCTCAATAGCAAAGTATACACTCCTTCCTGTTATTGACAGATTTAACCAGCACTTTAACATGTATGCCAAACTAGTTTCGCATTAACTATAGCTGCCTGTGAATTTGATTCATCTAGCAAGCAGTTAAGCTAGCTACTCACTGTATTTACCAAGCAGTTCGAATTGCAATGAAGTTAGCCTGCGTTTAACAGTTAAATATTAATTTAGATTATTTCTTGATCAGCGCGGCTTGGCCTAAGCTGCATTCATTTTGAAACACTTTAATGCAAATTTAAATTGCAAATACCTGCAGCTAAATATAAGTCGCTGTCAGAGCTAACATGAACTTTGCCAGGAACATGAGAAACAACACGAAACTAAACAGCAAATGCAACTAACATACTATTTATGAATATAAGCAATAATACATGAGTAAATATAAATAAACACACACACACACACACAATATTAAGAGCTAAGCCTACTTAAAAAAAAAAACTGTTTTTAGGTTAATGTGCTGTAGTTTCGATTGTTTTGTTTTTGTTTTTGTAATTTTTTTAGGTAGCAGCTTGAGCTAACAAAATAGACATAAAACAGAGACACGCAAAATCGTAACACTTTTTTGAGAGCATGTAAACCCCATAAAAATAAAAATAACAAAACAACAAACACATAAAAACTATAAATTTTTTTTTGTCTTGTTGATTAATAATTAGGTAAAAAAGCCACAAAAATTAGACAAAACGAAAAGAAAAAAAATTAAATAAAAATAAAATAAACGAAGAGCTAAATATATATATAAGAAGAAAAAAAACTCTATACAATTTGGAACTAAGACCAAAACTATATGAATTTGCTTTTAGCCAAAGAAAACAATATGAAAAACAAACAAAATAATTATGTAAATGTTACAACAAATACCACAAAAAAGAGCGTAGAAGAAGAAATAAAAACAACAATCAGTACGCAGCAGCAGGCAATACAGAAAAGAAAAGAGAAGCAAACAAAAAATTGAGCACTTTTTCTAGCCTGTCCCTAACAAAGTTAATTACTAACTAAAAATATACACAAAAAAACTTGCAGTAATCACAGCTAAGAGATTAAAGTAAACTAAAAAAAAAAAAACATACATATATCTATATAATATGAAAATAAAACAGTTGTAAACATTTTGTTGCATAACTTTTGCGTTCAGCTGAAGCATCAGCAACAAAAAGCAAAATATATAATAATAATTACATAGTTATAAATTGGTTGAAACTACCGCAAAAAAAATTGCTCTACATATGCATACACGTATATACATACAGCACACACACACACACACACACACACACACAGATACACACACGTATTTCAATATGTATATAAGCAGAACAAAGAGCATTATGAATTAAACAGAAATTTTGAAAGAGAATATTCAATTTTGTTTGGATCTTGGCCTGGCGCCATCTATGGTCAGCGAGCAGCAGCTGCGCGCGTTGCACTGCTTGAGCACCGTTTGCAAGCAGTTAACTATGTACTGTCGCGTGAAATCTTTTGAATTTTGACAGTTTGGCGGCTTTCATCGAACCGTTAGCTCAGCTGTGCTCCAGTTTTTAATACCCTGCAAGTGTTGATTGAATTATGGGGTATATGCACACTTGTATAAGAGACCGCAGGAGTCAATAAGAGCATCCTATGCATGTACATTTTTTATTTTTATTTATTTATATGAATAGAAAGAAATTTGTGAAAAATTGGAATACAAATTTGAAGAATAATGTGAAGAATTTGCTAATGACGATTCTTCTGTGTGTCTTTAGGTGTATCACTTAAGTTTTCGACATGTCTTTGAATTAAAAAAAGATTTTTACCTTATACTTTTAAAGCAGATAGTTAGTCTATCTAAGCACATAGCTCGCTCTTTGAATTCATGGAACTCAGAGAACATAAGAGCTGGGGATACAAAAATTGGTATGCAGCTTTATCAATAAGAAATTTTCTCATATATACTTATCTTTTAAATAGATTGCAATCGCAAACATTTACCATACATATATCAAATTATCAATAAGAAAACACAAAGTTATCCAGCAAAAGTTTACGTTTGTTAAGGTAAGATTGCCCCAATTCCAACTGCAGGTATGCACATATATTTCAGTTTGCTTTAAATCTCAGTACAGGGTATTTAAGCGTCAAGCACACTTCTTATATGCATTTCAGCTTCTTCTTCATTATTAATGGGTAAGTGACATTGCACTTTTGTCACTCTCTGGCGCTTTGTCTTACTGTACATTTTCATTTTATTACCGTTACGCCCCCCTCCTCCCTCCTTCTACTGAGTAGCCATTGTGAACTTCGCACTGCTATTAAAGCGACATCCCGCAAAAGTCAAGTGAAAATATTTTGGCGCCGCTTTTGTAACAGCCTAGCCTCCCAACCCCCCCCCCCCCTCTTTCCCTTTTCCAACACTGACAGTCCCTTAAAGTCCCCCCCCCCCCCTTATATTAACTGAGCAGATTTGAGGCAATCTGCCGCTCATTTGGCTGTTGCCTCTGTGCGTTTGCGTTTTTAATTAACGGCGGTTTCTTCTATTGCTTCATGAAAGATTGCAAATGAAGTAATTATAAAGAAATGAAAATGAAAAAACCAACGACAAAATAAAACAAGTAACAGGCTTTAGTCGGGAGTTCCCGACTAGGGGATACCCTGAACACCAATTGCAGCTCGCACTAGAGCCAAACCAACAACTAGTCGATACTAAAATAATATAATATACAAACTGGTTTATTTATTTCATTTCTAGCTATGTGGTGGTAGCGAGGAGGTGGAGGTAGCTATAAAATGAAAGATACTTGATATATCTTATATATACTATTCTAGAAGCTACATCTCAAGTTTGGTGACTCTAGCTCTAATAACTTACGAGATTTGCTCAAAAAACAGGATTTCGATATCGATTTCTATCGATTACTTGGAAGCGAGGCAACTTATCGATTATCGGAAACAAACTCGTACTGTGCGGGCACAAGGAGGAGCTACATTCCAAATTTCAAGTCTCTAGCTCTTATGGGTTTTGAGATCCTTGCGTTCATACATACGGACGGACGGACGGACATTTCTAGATCGACTTGGCTATTGATGCTGATCTAGAATACATACACTTTATGAGGTCGGAGATGCTTCCTTCTGCCTGTTACATACATTTGCAAAAACATCATACCCCTTTTTACCCATTTTTAATGGGTTCAGGGTATAAATATATGTATACAAAAATGAGCGCCGAAGATGGCCAAACGTTTAAAAAAAAATCAGTTACGACGCAAGAAAAATTAACGGCATTTGATTCAGTTTTGAGCCACAGTTCGTGCAATTATTATTGCTGTTGTTGCGTGAAATGCGTTCATGGTCAAAGTGTCAAACGTGACGTAACGGTACACTATTCACTGATCCCAAATACAGAGCATAACGGATAGAGAGCGAGAGAGAGAGAGCTTAACGTATCTCCAGTGTTAGCAAGAGCAAAAGACTGCATTGCTAATCGATAAGTGTTTCAATTTAAATTTATCGAAAGTAACACTAAATATCGTTAAGTTAATCGAGCATCAACCTGACCCAATTTTCTTTAAGTAATCATTCACACGCGTTCGTCATAAACCAACTTACAGCACTGCTTGCAAGCGAACTGTGTTGCAAAAGTGCCGCAACATTGTTCATCAGTTTGTACAACTTTTCAGCAACTAATTAACATTTTGGTACAATGTTCTCTCTGCCAAGCGTTTCTCTCTTACTAGCCACAATCGTTGTTATCGAATTACGAACTAGCTATCGATCAATCGATTGAATATCGACTCTTACTGATTATCTTTTATCCGCTAATCATCTTTATATATATTGTACCCAAACATAATAGAACGATATTACTATTGAAATCGATAAGCTAACCGAATTCTCAAGGAAACTTGTATTAGTTATCGATAAATTGATAGACTTTCAAATTGACCTACAAAACATCAACGTATCAACATCATCAATCAATTGACAGCACTGCTTGCAGCCGGACAGTGTTGCAAAAGTGCCGCAACACGCGACGTTTTCGAATGTCACATTTGAAATTTGATTTTCACACATTTTGGTGAATTTGATGACATTGTCAGCGATTCCCCATTCCGATTACGCTAAATTCCAACGTCCCAAGCTGCGTGTGTATATTCGTATATTCGTGTATTCGTATTCGTATTCGTATTTGCATACATATTTGTATTCGTATTTGTATTTGTATTTGTATTTGGGCTTTAGTAGCACTTTATTATTTATTCACTGTTAAGTTGAATTTTAGCTGTTGTTCGGGCTTTTGGTTTTTATTTTGTTTCTTGACACTTTCACTTTTCTCATTAAAATATGAGACCGGGCCGTGCCGACCCAGCGACAGGTTTCTGCTGACAGCATTACAATACGAACACGATTACGAATAAACGAATATGAATACTTACATATGAATACGGGTACGAACAAGCCGTCAACCGCCCGCCGTTGCCCTAACCTTATAACACATGCCTGTACATATGTTTTTCGCTGATTTCATTTGCCCCCTGCTCTTGCTCTCTTCTCTCTCTCTCTCGCTCTCCCTCTCTCTCCCTCTCTCTCTCTTTCTTAGTCCTGTCATCTTCTTCTAAGCCTCTCGTTCTCTCAGCATTCAGATTCCTTAGTATTATAATTGGAATATAGATTGGACAATATATTGTTATAACTGTTTAGCTAAATCGTCTTGCTATCGCTTTCGTATCTTCCATGAGAACGCAGTGGCTCAGTCTGGCAAAAAGTTTTGGCAGCTTGATAGTTATATGTCGCCTGGCAGATACATAAGCCAAAGTGTCGCCTGGGAGATACATTAGCGATAGTTATCATCAAATTTTTGGCAAGATCATCGCCCAGTAAGGCGACTCCCTAAGAGAAAACAATACGAAAATCTCTGACAGTTGTTGTTATTATTATTTTTAGTTTTATTATCTTATTTTATCTTATTATTATAATTATTATTTTTATCATTATTAATACATTACTTAATATATTTATAATTATTGTTAGCGTTAGTATTAAAATTAATTATATTAGTTTTATTATTATTATTATTAATTTTGTTGTTATTATATTATAGGCATCCCCGACCCCGTATAGTATATATATTTTAGATCAGCATCAACAGCCGACTTGATATAGCCATATCCATCTGTCCATCCGTCTATTTCGTCTGTCTCTTTGTCAAAGGAACGATTGGTTAAAAAGTTGTTACTGATATGTAAATCATTTCTTTAAATATAGATAACTTGACCAAACTCGGGATTTATGAGTTCCCTTATGATCCTTAATATATGCAAAATCCTATCAACATCGAACCAATATTTCATATGGCTGCTAAAGGAAAGATCGGTGAAGCGTAGGATCTTATATGGCAAAGTGTTCTGTTTTCAAACAAACTCAGCATTTTCAAGCTTCATTATTCTCACATATCTGCATAAGGGAAATGTCATAATTTTTTTATATTATTATTTTTACATTTTTGACTTTTATTATTATGATTATTACTAATTGTTTCTTTATTATTAACATTATTATTATTTATTTTATTACTATTAATATTTTTATTATAATTTTATTTTTCTTATCAATATTATTATTTATGCTATTATTATTTTATTATTATTTTATTATCATTATTCAATTTTATTAAAAAATTAGGCTTTCTATTCAAAAAGATTTTATCCTATATTGTTTCTGATATGATATTTCGTTTTGAACTTATTTCGAACGTCTTTTCGTATCGCCTCATTATCTTCCCAACGATAGAGCTTAAAATAAATACTTACTTATTTACTTGCAGGGTGTGCACATACTTTTGTAATTCTGCTTCTGCTTCTTCTTCTTTTTCTTGATTTTCGAATTGTGTCAATCTTCATCAGAGCAGCTCCCCTCGCCAGTTAACCCCCCCCCCCCCTCCACCCACTCACACGTCTCGAGCGAGGAAACCAGTTTCCAATTACGAGCCGCCAGTCACCGAATTCTGTTTCGAATTGCTTCTGCTTCTGGTCACATCTTCCGAAAAATGCATTTTGTTCGCCCTTTGAACACACACACACACACGCACACACACACACAGCCAGGCACATAATTATGGAGAGTTCCAGTCATGCCTGCAGTTTTTGGCAGATTTTTTTTTCCTTATTTTTTTGTGTTTTGAGATCTTTAATAACTGGTTTTCGATTTCGGTGTTCGCTAACGGTAAAGCTAAAACTTCGCATTGTGTGGCTAAAACGTATTTTCCCAACTTTTCATGTTGCCTATTTGGAAAATTGAAAAAGCATTGCACGACATTTGGGGATTTGTTTTCAAATATTGCACAATGGGTTTTCGGCCGAAAGCGAGACGCAGCGAACGGGCGAGGGAGTGAGAGAGAGAGGGAGAGCGTGGGCTGGAAGACAACAACAACTTGTCGTTGTTTAAGTAGTTGTTGTTGTAGTTGTTGTTGTTGTTGTTGCTGTCTGTTTACAACTTCGCCCCGCATTGGGAACTGGGATTGGGATTTGTGCCCCAAGTCGAGGCTGAAGCTGCGACTGCAACACGTTCAGGCATGTGTGCGAGTATGTGTGTATGTGTGTGAGTGTGTGAGTGCGAGTGTGTATGTGAGAGAGAGAGAGAGAGAGAGAGAGAGTGTGTGTAAACGGGTCAACCGCAAACAGTTGCCACAATTCGCTGGCAAATCAAGTTCCTGCGCCTGTGCATGCTGTGTGAATCAATGTGAATAAGTGAGTGCATTCAACAGGCAGCAGCTAAATTAATTGCAAACATATCTCAATACCCCCTCCTCTTCCCAGTTGTAGATTAGATTAATGATCGGAATGTTTACTTAAGCACCTTAATTAGCAGCATATTCATTTGTCATGGTATTCGTGTTGAATGAATGAAATGAATAAAACCCTTTGCGGTGCATGATTGATGTGATTTGTGAATATTTTTTAATTATTATTTTTATTACAATCACTTAAATTTAGTTAATTTATTGATGGAAATCATTTAGTTAGTTTGAGTATTTTGGCTATTCATGCCATTGCCAATTGATTCGTTCACTCAATTATTTTATTCATTTGAATAATTGTTTATTGTTTAAGCAATTTATGAGTATTGTACTGCATCCTAAAAGGTCTGCTTATTCATTTCATATTCGTTCTTCTCTTGTTAAGTTGCTTATCCATCAGCTTATTCATTATTCACTCGTATTATTCACGTATTCAGTTGTTGATTTGTGAAGTTTTATTTTAATATTTGTGCATTCGAACGAGTAAATTTATTGCTCAAACTTCCTGATTCATTCACTTTGAGTACTTCAATTATGAACACAACATTTAATAGATTCGTTGATTCAATTGTTTTTTCAACAGTTGTATTTTTGTGTTTGATAAGACTCCCGCTATGATTATTCATTTGCATGGCCAACGTAAACCTAATACAGAGCATTCATTCACTTTTTCTTGACTGAATGAGTATTTATTCAAATAGCCTGACTTTTCTTAGTTTTGAATTGTTTTTTCTCTTCTTTCTTTTTATTCATACATAGTCAATTAGTATTTGAGTTTCGATCAACTCAATTCAACTTAATTCAACTCATATTTGAATGCATTTATCTGCATTCATTCATTCATTCACAATAATTAAGTCACTTCTTCACATTTATTCACTACTTTGAATCTTCATTCTTAAATTGATAAATAAAGTTATTCGTTTCTGAATACATCTGGAATATTCAATTCGTATTCATGCACTTTTGCCTTATTCAGTTATTTATTTATCAGTTGAGCGAATTATTTGACTTAACTTTTCAGCTCTTATTTGTACTCATTTTCGTTGGGGGCTATTTTTCTTTTATTTACTTCTATCCAAATCCTTTAATTGATTCACTTAGTTATTCACATAGTCGCCAATTTATTCATTCGCGTTTGAATTCATTTATTTTGGCTCTTCTCTTTCTTTTTTTTTCTTTCCCATTTGTTTTTTTGCGGCCAACTTTTGCAACAGCAGCATAACATAAAACAACAACAACAACAACAACAATAGCTGCGATCACAGCAACAACAACAGCAACAACAATAGCGACAACGACATTCGTTTGTTAACAAAATGCTTATTACAACATCGCCGATGACGCAGGGCTTTTTTCTTCCCCTGTCCAGCAGCAGCAGCAGTAGCAGCGGCAGAAGCAGCAGCAGCGGCAGCGACGGCAGTCGTTGGCGCTCTCTTTTGTTTTGTGCTCTGCCTCACTCTCGCTCTCACTCGCTATTTTGGCTCTCCTATTCATTTCTTTTGTGTGTGTGTGTGTCTCTGTCTGCAGCACTTTCGTTGCGCTTGCCCAAGCTAACGGTAAAAATTTTGCACTGCCTGCGCTCACTTGCGCTTTCAAGCTGGCTGCGCTTGAGCTTGAGCCGCAGCTGAGACGCCGGCGCTGACGCTGACTGTGTGTATGTGAGCCTGAGCCTATGCTGCTGAGATTTTTGCAGTTGTTGCTTTTTGACTCTCGTGCTGCCGCTGCTGCTGCTGCTGCTGCTGCCGCCTGCGACTACCGCTGCTGCTGCGACTTTTTGGGCTGCGTTTTTGAAATTGTTAGCATATTTTTACAGCTGGCCAAGACGCGCAGCCGCAATTCGTTGACGTGCGTTCATGCCAAGCGGTCGTCGCTTGTCGCAGCTCCCAGCTAACTACACACACGGCCATCGTGCCCCGCCAACCTATAGCCCCCGGCTACCCCCATCTCCATCACTGGCCTCGCGATCGCGCAACGAAAGTAAAAGTGACGAAAAAAGAAAAAAAAAAAACAGCCAAAAATTATCCAAAAACGAAATACGAAAAATACGACAAGGAAAACAAACTAAGATATTCTAACGGTTAAAAAAGCTAAGCGGCGCTCGAGCAGCGCTTATTACACAACTGGCGCCCCGAAAGAGAGGAAGAAAAGAAACGAAGAGTTTTTTATGTGTGCTTTTTGTGTGATAATTAAATATCCGATTTTTCGCTTTGCCTCGCTGTGAAAATGATTTAAACAAAGTGTCCACAAAGAAATTTTTAAAAATATTAATAAAAAAAATAAAACGAAAAGCAAACGACACACATTTTGGAACTTTTTATATAGGTTTTTGGAATTGTTTATGCACACACGCACAATTTATTTTTATTTTTTTTTCGATATTTTTTTTGTGTATTTTGAGTGAAAGTGAAGCAGGGCAAGCGACGCGTCGAACGTGCCCCATCAATTTGTGGGATATTTTATTTTTTATTTTTTTTTTCTGCCTTATTTAAATCATGCGCTTACAAGGCGCGCTGCGGCCGCAGCTGGTGATGCTGCTGCTGCTGGCGTTGGCAGCGACTGTCGCGCAGGCGGCCATCGACAACAAGGACAACAAGTCCTCGCCCATCATCAGCGCCGATCAGCACAATGTCATCAATTTGAGGCTGCACACGGAAAACAACAACAACAGCGGCAGCGACGCCGACGTCAGCTTTGATCTGACGCGCACGCAGCGACTGCGCGATGCGCTCAATGTTTTCGATCTGTCGCTGCTCGCGTCGCAGTGGCCACGCCTCGAAGCCACACGAATGCTGAGCGTAAACTGCACGAAGGACATGCGCAGCTATCTGCACGGCCTGACCGATTCCAAAATGTGGGCTGTGAAAAGTAAGTAGTAGAGTAGATATATAAGTTGGGTTTGATGCGATTGTAATTGGGAACAGTCGATAATAAGTTGGGGTTGATACAATGGAAAATGGGAATTATCGATAAAGTTGGGTTAGTTACAATAGCAATTGGGAACAGTCGGTAAGTTGGGCTCGATACAATGGAATCAGTTGATAAGTTGGTGTTGATACATTGGTTATTGGTTTGAATCGATGGAAATTGGGAACAGTAGATAAGTCAGATTAGGTTACGTTGGAAATTTTGAACAATCGTTGAGATGGTTTATTTACTATAGAAATTGGGAACAGTCGATAGGTTGGGCTCGATAGGATGGAAATTGGGAGCTGTCGACAAGTTGGGTTAGTTACGATAACAATTGGGAACAGTCGATAAGTTGGGTTTGCTGAAATATATCGAAGAACCAAAAATATATTAAATAATATATATATTATATGAATGTGGTTAACAGAACTCGTAACACTTGCTTTAACTTAACTCAGCTCAGAAAAAAGGAATTCTTCTTTTTAAATATATTTTAAGTTCCTACAAAAAGGCAGCTTGTCACAAGCATATTCTGAGATCATAAAATTCAGAGTCTTTCTGAAAATATATGAGAACAGCTCAGAAACAAAATGAGTATGAAGAATAAGAAAGTATTATAGAAGAAGAATAAGCTGAAATACTTAAAAGTGGAGACCCATCAAATGTATAAAATATTTATTGAACTGTTTGTTAATTTCAAGCTGATAGCTTCATAAATTGTATTTTTATATCGCAAAACCATTTAAAATGTTGTGAAAATATGCAAAAGGAAGCAACTGTGACCCTGTCAAGTATGTATATATACATATATTCTTGATCAGGATAAAAAGTTTAGTCGAATACGGAAGCCAAAAGAAGCTAGAGACTCGATTAAGCTCGGGATTTGATCATTTATTTTTCGATATCTCCCTCCACTTGCATAATATCGATAAGAATCGATATTGAAAAATGTTTGTCAAGCACATCGCGAGAATTATCAGATCTACCCACGCCAAACTTGGTCTGTAGCTTCCTATTAGGTATGCCCAGACTGAGTTTATGTCACTTCGTGGATCCAACTTCTAGAATAAGCCAGAGTTGAGGGCATCTACTAGTCGGGCAGGCTCGACTGGAGCGGAGCGCGCTCTGACTTGTTTAATCATATCTTAACGCCCTATATGGCGCATAAATACAATTTGTTGAGCATTTATTGGGCAATCCATAAAACTGGCGACCATTATCCATTATCTGAGCAATCAAGCAAAGTGCCAAATCATTTTCGATTAAGTTATATGCATATGAAATGCATCGATAGCTTTTGCATATATTCATATATTCACTTTTCGGTATACAGTTGTTTGTTGTTGTTGTTGGTTGTTGGTTGTTGCTCTTGTTGCTTTGGTTATGGAGAACTGAGCGCTGCATGTGAACGTGCCGTTTGCCGCGGCGCATTCTCAACATTTTGAGACTCGGATCTACATAGTTCGAATATGCATGCACCGCGGGCTGTCGACGCCAAGGTCGCAATTAGTTCTTGCCCGACCACAACAACTTGCAACTGCAGCAGCAGCAACAACAACCACAACAACAACAACAACAACTTGAAACAACTCAATTGTGCTTTTGGATTTTGATTTGTAGTTCGTTCAGTTTTCAGTTCGGTTCGGTTCGATTCGGTTTTGTTTTTGTTATTTTTTGGCAAATTGTTTGGTCATTATGTCAGCACCCGGTGTCAGCTTGAACAATGGCCCCTAACAGTATGGTAATTGGATATTGCCGCATAATGCAATACTGCAAATATTGTATTAAGGCTCACCGTTCACTACTGTCCAAAAAGTTAACCAACACTTAAACAAGCTGTCTAACTTGATTTCGTTACGCTCATGTTCTGTCTTGTCAAAGTTGAGTGGGCAGTTCATCTAACTGTTGACTGTACCTGATAAGATGGTTATGCCAGTGTTGCCACCTGGCAAATGCAACCTGCATCTAGTAGCATCTGGCAGCGCTGAGGCAGACAAACAATAAAACATATTCAATATGGCTTTAACCGATCAACTGAAGGTCGTGGCGTTGCCACATTTGACATTTGGTTGCACAGCAGTGTGGCTAAGCCAAATGAATTTCAACTGCCTGTCAGTTAACATGCATTTTGACAGGCAGCTGGCAAATTCGAGCAGTCGTTCGATGATGTTGCCACATCTTGCGCTGACTAGGGCCTAGAAGTCAGCTAACATGAACTTTGACAGCAACATTCAAAGCAACATTTAACATTCAAGCTTAGCTTTTTTTTTACTTTTAGCCTTTGGCAACACAGAACAACGAAGTCGGCGCGTGATAAACGCTGACAAGAGCCTGTTTAATCGCTAACATGAACTTTACCAGGCACCTGGTAAAAGTAGCACTGCTTGCAATCAGCTGCACATGCAACTCGCAGCAGCTGCAACAACAAATACAACAACAAAATTATGAATAAATGTTGTGCGACTAGTTTCTGGCTTTTGGTTGCTTTTTCCAAGTTTTTGGCTTGGTTGCGCCAGCGAGTGCGCAGCACGCCCCCTTTTTTAAACGCCCCCCACACACACACACACACACACACACACACACACACACACACAGGCGCGCACAACCTTAGCAAGTGAGTGACCAACTGACCAACTGACTGACTGAATGCGCGAGTGAATGACCAACTGTGAGTGTGTTGTCCAAGTGAGTTGCCACTCTTTCTGCCGGTTATGCAATCAATTAACACAAAAAGAGAAAAAAGAAAAATAACAAAAAAAAAAAAAAAACCGTCGAGACGAAGCGAAAACGAATGAAAGAAAACAACAACAGCAAAATTGTTGTTTCTTTTCCTTTCGGTTAGTTGCTTTCAAAGTTTCACTGCGTGTGACTAAAAATGGGTAATAAAAAATGTTTAAAATTATGATTCAAAGTTTGTCATTTTAACATTGATTCTACAATAAGATTGATTCATTTTTAAGCAATCTACCAGCTAACCGCAGCTGCATGCGCCTATTCAGCTATTCAGCTATTCATTCAACCGCATTCATTCATTCACTTTAACTGGCTTTTATTCTGATTTAAACGTTTTTTTATTGTCTGAACACATTGAAAGTGGATAGAGAGGGTATGCTTGCTTTCTGTCTAGGTATATAACAGGCAGAAGCAAGAATCTCCGATCTCATAGGGAATATATATTATTGGCGAGGATAACGAGCTGAGTCTGCGACAACAGCACGAGTTTACAAAAAGTTTTCGTTTGTTTTATCGATAAATGCTTCATAACTTTCTTAACTCCGATAAATATCGATTTTGAGATTTGGTTTTTTAAACATAACTAGAAAACTATAAAAGCTACTTGCACCAAACTTGGTTTGTGGCTTCTCGTCTACTTTTCACCTATTTCCCGCCTGAGAGGAAGCTCGACTGCTTGCAAAGGCAGCTTAGCACTGGGTGCAGGGTATCGGCTAGTCGAGCGACACTCTTGCTTGTTTTATGCTCATTACGTTTGGTTTTTGGATTTTTTATTTTGCATTTGATCACGTCAGAGTCTGAGACTTAAAAGCCGTGCACGCCAAGACCGGGCCTCGAGTGGCCAAGATCAATGGCCAATCATTATGGCCGCTTTACCCATTTGAGTCTAGCTTCAAATACCCGTACTCCACTTCGAATAGACCTTATTAACTTGGCGCTTTTATAATTGCATGTCAGCAATTAATATTGTAAGCATATCCAAAATTTAAAGACCTCAACATTTTTCTACTAATACAAAACAAAAAAGTAAAAAACAAAGTACATTTGTACTCAAAACTTAATTTGAGTACAAATCATAATCTTAAATTGAAAAATATACCAAGTCGGAGACTTTCCTTAGGGTCTTCATAACTTCTTTTTAATTAGAAATAGTTTTTTTCAGTTTTGAACATTTTTATAAATTTTTTTCAAAAGTTAAGAACTGGGTTAATGAGGGTTGAAATTGTACTGAAGGATCTGTTATAGGATGGATTAAAATCTTTTGTGTACAAAATAAAATGGGTCATATAAATTTTGGTGTGACTTTTGGAAGTAAAAAGTTCGTAAACGAAAAGTAGACTGAAAACTAAATTTTACTTTTCAGCGCGTTTTAAGCCAATAGCTTTAAAGGTTTCGGAAATATTTTCTAAAACGTTTTGCTATAGTTTATTGTTTTCAAAATAGAAGAAACAATTTTCCTTTAACTAGAAGACTATTTTTCAATATTAAAAAATAAATATTTTTGAGTGTAAGATATATTTAACTTTATGACAATTCTCTAAAATGTAACAAACAAAAATTCACTTAAAGCGATTCGGGTGTTTTTTTTTTGGTTTTCAATTTTATTCTTTATTTTTGGCAATTTTTTTAAATTAAGAAAACATGATGTGAATTTTTTATTTTTTTCATGTACATTCTGTAAAATGTGGATAAAACTGTTTTGGGGCGATTGTAAGATTTTATAGAGATAAAAATGTTTGGAGTATCATATAAATACTTTATTTTTTTTGGCGATTTTTTTTAATTATTTAAAAAGCTATTTTTAGTATCAATTCGTGTTCTGTTGAGTTAATGTAAATTTTGTATTTTTGTTTCAGTTATTAATTATTTTATTCTAAGATATGATAAACAAAGAAATTACTCGACATTTTATAACTTCAATGAAATTTTGTAACTTTGGTAAAATGTGGAGAACACTGTTTCTGGTTTTATGGCGATTTTCTAAGACTCGGCAAACAAATGGAAAATTTAATGGACACTTTTTAAGAAAATTGAGTTTTGAGCGTAGGTTCGGGTATTTGGAGAGTCGTGCATGCCTCATGTTTCTTTAGCGCGCCGGACTACGTTCTGACTAGTTGCCATTGTTGTTGCCGCTTGGCGCATTTGGTGGCAACTACGCTTCGTTGCTTTGGTTGATTGTGGAAATCGATTGGCCACCAACCCCCACACCCCCCCCCCCCCCCCTA